GCGAATCTGCAATATCTTCCTTCAGGGTTTCTTCACTGAACTTTCTCAGGGCACAATATCTGGTATTAGCGGATCCAGCCAAAAGTATCCGTGACACAGTCGAATTACTTTTTAGACTAAAAGCGATAGCACTGATATTATTACAAGTGCGATCTACCTGTAAACTGAGGAATTCTAGTGTAACACAACACCACATCCCGGTAGGATATTCTTTGTGTTGTGAAATTCCTGCAGGCACGAGTTGAATTCATAAATTGAACAATCGTCAGATATGAAGGTGTCCCATCGAGGCTGGCGAAACGCGATACTTTACACAAACGCACCTGCGGAGATGTGGGCATGTGTCACTTTACATGAACTCTGGGCTATATCGAGAAGGCATTTATTTCAATCGACCCTTAGATGTACGCTCAATTATTGTTCGTATATATGTAACGACTTGATGTGTTCCCTAATTTGTCTATAATTACGGGATATACATAAATTTAAGGATTACTTAAAATGGGTTTTCTTAAAACCAGCGGTGTTCCTTCTCTAGTATTCACTGGCGTCACAATGATTGACATGGCAGATTGTAGCTTGGTGTGTTCTGTGGCTATGAACCGTTGTTACCTAGTTTTTAATTAATATCATGCTTCTAACCTTATAAACCTCTAGGTATAGTTCTCCTTCACGGCACACTACAATATATAGAAGTCAGAAGCACACCATATTATGTAGATCTAGTTTTTCTTTGTGCCTGTAATTGGTGAGTCAGTTGGTGTTGTGGTGACAGGAAAAACAACTACAAGTCTTTTTTTCTAGATGCAAATATATTTACCTACTTTGGCGAAAATTTAATCTTTTTATCAAGGAACCCCTAGGGGTGTCCACCTTTACTTATTAATTAAGAACTGAAAGTAAACGCCTTGTTGCTACGTTATTCAAAAGACAGAATTATGAGTGAACTAAGATTTGGATACATTTATTCTAACGTAAATGAACAATAATAATGATCATTTAACCTATCAACAAGCAATTCACTTTCACCTTAATTCAAAGAAAAGTTTAGTTACTCACTTAATTAGTAGTTTCAGGAGACTGCTCTACTCTTGCCTTCGAAATATTTTGCCCGATTGTGTTTTACTTCAAAATATGTGCATACTGGCCAGTCGATGCTGCTTATCCATGCATCCAAATATACTGTCCTACCTCTGTTGCTACCAATCAAAACATTTCTTGAACTATCAACAAGCTACTGTTACTTTTATTGATACATAAATTTTGCTGTTCTTATGTGAACCATGTTAATAACATCATCACTTATTTGGTTTTTCGATTTTCGAATTATCACTTTTCCACTGAGTAAGCATCTGTCTCAACTTTAAAGGATAGTTATAACCTTTGCCTACTGCACTAGTTTACTTCGTTATACAGCCACCTCCCGACATGTAGGTACTGCCAACAAATTCATCGCGATAACAAGAATATACTGCATATTAACGACAATATAACTCAAAGGAAAACGTCTCTTCTAATTCCACTACCCAATAAAACGCATGACCCTAATCTCGCAAACTCTGTGGCTCACAACATTCGCAAAAGTTAATATTCAGTATTAGCAAATAGAATATCCATTTGAGGAATAGGGAATACATCTATTAGTGATTTAACATAAATTACAAAATGATCGAGACTGGAAACCACCTTCTTCAGCAACGAACCCCATGAGGTCACCGAGATTAACGAGTACCTGAACGAAGAAAACAAGAGTTAACAGGATTATAAATGAATGTCACCATTAATACAATAATTAACGAGCTAGCACGGTAAGAATTACTAAAAGATTTATTAGTGTGCGATTAAATCAGTCAGCACTTTTGACATAAGTTGATATAGCAACTAAACCTTAGGTCCATAGCTTTAAAAATGCTGCATACATGATTCCAAGATAATTCTTCGAATCGCCATTGTACAAATGTACATAATGTAGCTTCAGCGAAAGGTGGGAAGTTTATGAAAGCAAACACAACAATGGGAAAAAATTACTTACACCTGAGACATCCTTACATACCCGATCACGATGATGTTTAAGCTATTCAAATCCAGTGAAGTACTAGAATACGTTGTAGTGTGCATTTAACTGCGTTAAAATTTTTGGCAGAAAATAGAGAATGTTGCACGTGTTAGTAGAATATGATCCAATTTCTGCCCAAATATGAACACTGATTTTTGCTTGTATTAATGGATTCCATTGACTTTTAACAATCAAAACACAAAAGTGCAGAAACTTGAATTCAAGATCAACGATACTCTTAGGTTCCTGCAACAGAAGTAGTTACTGCAGAACAGCTGATCAGAGGATTTAAAACAGTAAAGGTTACCATGAAGCTGCAAAGAAATTTTCCAAAAGCCATTCGCCGAAATTGATGCGAAGCATACACAGTATACTAAATAATCATTGCATAAGTCATATATTTAGGCCTCCTGCAGCACAAACAATACATCAATGCCTAAGAGCAGTGCCAAACAACAATTTTCACATAAATTCACCCTAACAAGGGCCAAATAAGTACCAAAATCACGTTAACTGCATTTGCCTAAACAAAACAACGTAGGCTAGCCCCAACTCGAATCAATTCAACCGCGCAAGTGCCGACAAGGTGAGGCAGGTGACGCCACGTGAAATAGGGGATATGCCATATGATCGCCCAACCTAACCATTTTGCAAACAACGTTCCCATATTTGTCTAATTTATAGAATTATATTAGAACTTACTGTAGTTATTATAACTGCATCCTGGTTGAATATATTTTATATTGTCTCTTAGAATTTGAAAGACAGGCGAATAACTTATTTAGTTTTCTCCTCTCCACGAAGCACTAATGAGAGTTATGTTGGCGGCATAATTCTCTGAACTAAATGATAATAACTATATGATTAGGTACCCGGTTGTAGGACTAGCGCGGGGAATTTCTTCAGAGCAATGCAGAACCGAATACCGAAGTAAAACATACATACTGTGGATGCTCGATGAGATACGCATCCTGATAGTCTGACTTCTGTAAGACTACCAACTACTACCACATAGGTACATCAAAATTCTTACAACCAAATGTCGCCATAGCCAAGCTGGTACGGAAAGGACCTCAGTCTTCGTGACGTCTTTAAATGAAACAAACGCAAGCAGCGCTACGTTTGCTTACAGATTCTTCAACTTCTCGAATTCACATTCTGGCTAATATCACAAGTAGATAAGAGCGAGACTGCTTAGCATGCAAACGCAAATATGATACTACTCATACAGATGACGAAAATCATATTGTAGTCATTTTGTAGCGCTTTGGTTAAGTAGAATGAAGAGTACTGACTGAAGTGAAGGTCGGACAATCTGCCTGTGAGGTGGTTAGGATAAGTAGTAAAAAATAAGCCTACACACTCTGTTACAAGTGCAGTTACCTCAAAAGTTTTTAAATTTCAGGAAATTATTGTGAACACTTGCATATACCCAGTGTGGAGTTGCTTCATTCTGTCAGCCAGAAATGAATGTGCACTGAGACGAAGAGATAAAAAGTAGGTTTTGACAGTGTGAGAGATTATAGGCAGTCAAATATATTCACAAAATGCATTCTGCTGGGGTTCAAAGGAAAGTGTCTGAGAGCAGCTGGTGCCTGAAGGCACAGGAGTGTTTTGATTGCACTAAATATATACATTGCCTAAAGGTAGTTATGAGCTTACGTAAGTGCAATATTTTCCCCCACGGACAGGATGACACCGAATTTCGGGTAACGAGATCGAAAGGTCCGCCAGTTAAGTGTCGGTACCAAGGCTGTATCAGGGTAGATAGCTGAGAATTGTTTCAAGTGGAGGCACCAAGCAGGCGAACTCATAAAACTTCAAATGACAAAGGTGGTTGAAAATCATACGTCCGCGGATTTTCGTGCAAGTGGATTACTAAACAGAATACTATTACCAAGAAACATTGGACAGAAATCTAGGTCCAACACCATAACTACTTTTTTGACAGTATACCTTAGTGAAACGATAGAGTAGTGGAGAATATTAATAGAGTATTATACATGGAGTATGTATATAGAACATATATAGAATATATGTATATATGTTAATAGAGTAGTGGAGAATAGTCAAACACGATTCGTAGCTTGTGAGTGCAGTTTGCTACCATCGGTGTAAACAGAGTTTTAGTATGTGGTTCGGCATAATACGAAAGACGGCATACCCCTGCTCACCATATCTTCCAAACCCCTCTAATTGCACTAGGTTTTATAAACACTTTCCGTTAATGAGACCACTATGTCCTACGTACTTATTTCTCGAAATGTTTTGAGATTGTGCAGTCACATGTCTTCCGTCATACGAAGAACCTAGATACTTGTTTATAGTGAAAATTCATTCTATTTGATGGCCTTCCCTATTTGATTCCGTTCTGGAATACGTATTATAATCATACCCGATATTCATAGACTAAACGGGTTTTCATGCATCGCTTGAAGGGTATTTGACCACTTGTTTGTTAAGAAGTGGGAGGCCTTTGTGCCGTGATTCGGGAGAATACTGAACAAGTTAATTCTAAGATTCTCCCTCCCCTCCCCTGGAAACTGCTTACTGGAAGAATTTCTAAAGTCAGAAAACAATTTCGAAGTATCTCCGACTAGAAGCAATCCTCAGAATGAAACCTGAATCTGTGAATTATAAGCCTCACCAAGCTTTCTCAGACTAGTCTGCTAGGAATTTTTAAGAATCTGCATATTAATGTCTCATTTCTGATTTAAAATAGGTCATGAATTCATGCTGCATGTTTGTGAAGATTAAGTACCTCTGTAAAGCCACTTTATCTTCGAGTTTGTATACTTTCTACATGCATACTCTACTCTGGGGGGCAATATTTAAACAGAAATTTCATATGGAAATATGTAAATCCTCATTTTTGCCCGAAATGAACGGCTACAGTACAAAGTATTTGCTACTGTTTGTTTAATCGCATGTTATTGCCTTTCACCTTTGCTGGGGCTCTGTGTTCAATGTGAGTGGTTGCTTTGCAGGATTGTGCATTCCTGATGTCTTCTCAACATTTCCAAATGTGTATTTACCATTTTCTGAAGGATTTAAACAATTAAAACTTACATCAAGACATATCGATGCTCAAACCGGAGGATCAGAGTGAGGACTGTGCCAGAAATGGCTATGACTTTTTGAAATCCAGTCTGTCTGGTATCATCACGTAAGTTCGTTCATTCCCACCTCATCTTTGTGCAGACCAGACGTACGTTCGAAAATCGACAATCTAATTCAGGAAGTTGCTTCGTTAAAGGATGTTGAAAAGCTACTCTTCTGTTTGTTGCTCCCTGTGGAAAGTAGTCAAGGTGTTCATGGGCTCAGTAACACATCTTTTGGCCTAACTGGCGATGATCTGGACGTATCTTCAAGTTATGACGTCAATGCTCTGGGCGTTGGCATCTTCTCCCCAGGTGGTCAGTCCTCCCTGCATCTCTCCAACCAGGTAGAACAAAGTCAGGCTTACACATGGATTGTATCTCACTTGGAAGAGAATCCATCAACGTGCTTAAGAAAGCACGAGGTTTATGATGACTACAGGTAACTTAACGTTTTTCTTCCCTCCTGTTAGCTCTTTATTACGTGTGAATACAGTAATGTAGATGAATACTGGCTGAGCAATTGCATTTTAACCCCTAACTTAAGATTATCAAGGATCAATTCAGTTAATATAATCTTAGGTAATTTGTCACTCTGAAGTACAATAGAACTAAATTATTATGGAGTTTTACTGCTTAAGAAACAACTGCGCAAGCTATATGAGTGCTAAGGCTCTACGCTTTATCTCTATTGTGCGATGTTCCCATATTCACTCATTTTTTGTACTGATTTACAGTGCTATCTGTTCATTATTACTGGCTATTTCATCTTTGGGATTATCATGTTTCTCAAAAGATAGCAGTCTTGGAACAGTGGTTAGGAAGTCAACTGTCTAAGTCCAAAAAATATACCTCTTTGCATTCGCATCCTAGTTACCTTCATTGAAATGTCTGCTTCAAGGGGATTCACGACAGCCCCCAATGAAAATACCGCATAGACCAGACGGTCCATGGATCCACTAAACTCTTGTTTTTTTTGCCTGAATCAGGTCCCTTTGTAGTTATCATTTCATAGTTGCAGATTATACCTTGACTCGTCAATCAGCGTAAAAATGTCTTTTGGTTTTTTGGATTTACACCATTTTGTTTCCTCCTGGCGGTGCACACTAATAGGTAAATACAGTTAAAATAACCCTTCAGGCTAGAAATTTAAGTTACTGAAATCATACTGCAAAGTTTCAGCTAACTGGTTTCATGAAATAAAGGACTTAAAGAAAGCTTTATGGTAATCGGAATATAACACAGAAAGCTATCAGTTTTTGACTGATAGCCTAAAACGTCAATGACTGAAAGTTGGTAGTTTATAGACCACAGTATGCACTGGTTTCTGTTCGTTAATTATAATCAGTTCTCAGCTCTAGTTTTAGTTTGTACAAATTTCTATGTTCATTTCTTTACTTCTTTATTTTACCTTGTGTTTGAAATGAATTCATTTCCAGCCATCAGTTGCACTAAGCTAATTTGTATAGTGATGAACATATATTTTCAGCAACTAGTTTTCAACATCCAGGTCACAGAATCAAATGTCACGATATGTAGTGAGGTATAGGAAGTCAAGTCACACATGTTCTCTAAATCACTGTAGAAATACTTCTTACGCACCTATAGCTGTTAACACAAGGACTTCACTGTAAGCGATTAATGTGTACATTCGAGGCAGCTTGGGAATATATTTTACCAAACTTAATACGGACTTCATAAAGGGTGGTCACAACAGATACTGAGATGATCCTGTTGTGTCGAATTCAATATACGAGTGAACTGCTCCAAGCCCGGATGTTATTTGTTACAAAATTTTTTTGTCCGATTTGTATTGTGTATTCTGTGACATTTGTTCCTAAAGATAGTAGTCCAAGAATCACCCAGTCTCTTCTTGGTGCCCCAAAGATGAATCCTAGTATTCTCTCTCCTGTCCTACTGAAGGAGTCTAATCAGAACATTAAAGTCGATTTAAAACATCGGCCAACTTGAAATTAGTTATTTTCAGTTGGCTAACTGACTAACCAATATGAAAATTCAAGCAATACAAATGTCAGTGGATGCTTTTCCTGTGCTGTGAGCCACGCTTAATCTCAGGTCATATAATAATATTCGTATGATTAGCAGATTTGAATAAGACGGATTTCGAGCTTGGACTAAGTACTTAAACAAATAGGTCACACTGCATAATATCTGTGTGCAACTCAACACCAGCCACTGCTTCTTAGTTCCATTTCAATTCATTAGTTTTCATGCATCCTTCTGTTACATCTTAAAGAAGTTTTTTTGTCACTTTCCTACTCCTTTCTTTAGTATTAAAATTGCTAGAATAAGCACGTAACAGGTAGGTTCAACATAGGATTTACGTGTTCGGTTGTTCATTTGATACTTTTGGTTAGGAAGCAGGCGTGTAATATGTTGTTGTCCACATCAAAACCTTGGGATTCAGTGATACTAGAATTAGTGATATAGTGTTGGTCTTACCTCTGGATTTTGCTCAGAAATGCCAGTTTTATGTTTGGTTGTTATCCACAAAAGGAAAGCATCAATTAAAGTTATGCCAGTAAAAGTGCACTTAACTGCTTCAGTATTCCATCGACTGTTTGCTAAAATGCGTACAATATTAGCCAAACGCTCATCTTATAGCATCTGTTCACTACTATATGTCAGAATTCTGTTTCATGGTATAATACTGAGGCATTAACTTCAGTTTCCTTCAGCGATTGAGTTTACGCAACACAATCTGATATTCTGCTGTTTAGTGTTCAAAGTGCTGGAAATCTCTTAGAGTCTGCATTATCTGAGTTTTATTCGGCAACAATTACACCAAGCGGCGACGAAACACTTCTCTGTCTGATTCCCCCATACACACAGTACTATTAATGGAAACAAACATTCATCTGTTAAAATAGTTTTATAATTGTTGATGATCATGAATGCTTACACTATTATATCGTAGTGATTACTAATGTTTCTGGTAGTACACATATGTGTTTCAGACTTATCTTTTGCTAAGTTCTCAACGTAGAACTTTGCCAGAAGTGCAGCAGTTCAGACTCCATATAGCACACAAAGGTAGAGGAAATGATTTAAGGTTGCTGTTGTAGACTAAAATGTGAGAAAAAATTATTGCATGAAGAATAATGATAATGTAATTGATCCTGAAAACTACGAGAAAGTGAGTGCATCTACACCATTAAGAAGATTCTGAGCCATGTCACTAACAGTCTCGAATTATTGGTTCTTAGAGTCTAAAAGACCCCAGGCACTCTACACATCTTCACGGGATACAAATCAATAGTCAAGGATTTCGTGGGTTGGTGACAGATTCTGTCCTGACCACCACGAACTTTCTACAAGTGTAATCTCATGCCAGCTAGCATTTCTGGACCAAGAAGGTGATGGCTTGGCATGCTTAAAACGTGTCGTAACTATCTCAATCGACTTGGCTTCCTTACTTGACACAATGCCTAACCCTAGTACTACTATGTTATACCACTTAACACGGGAGGTAAGACACACTTTTAGCCGAAAATAGCTAACCTCTTCATATCTGCTTTCAATGGTCACATTTCACAGTCGTAAAGAATGTATAAAAAGAACTGCTGCGCAGTATATACGCCCTTTGGTCGATAGCGGGATATCCCATACGAACCTGTTGTATCTGTGATGACATTTTGTCAGCCTTCAGTCAATTATGGCTGGTGCAACTTCCCAAATAAGTAGTGATCAACACTCAATCATCCCACTCTGTCTTTAAGCTAGGAGCCGGGACAGACCAGTAATGCAGCACCACTATAAATTTGACAAGGGCGAATCGCGTGCCGATAAATACGTCCCAATTAGTTTCTTGTGACAATCTAAAGATTCGTTATACTGTTTCACGAATAGCATTCTTGCTGAATATTCTTGGATTATGTGTAGAAACCTTAATATGTGGTTGACGATATAATGTAAGAAAAACGAGTGTAACAGTTAAAATATAGCTTCATAACGTGTATATGAGCTTCAGATATGATAAAGTCATTTGTGCATACCCAGTCTAGTGCAGTCAAGTGCTCATGACAGAGTAATAAGGTATAAGTAAATGGATTGTAAATCATATTAAATTTATTTAATTTATATTATATTAAAATATTGTAATATAGTAATAAAGGGAAAACTTAAGTGTGAACATGGAGGTGAAGAAGTGCTTGGATGAAAAGTGATTTTAGTGGACTCATGAGCATAGTAAGTAAGTCGAGTAACTTACTGTCGGGTGTAACGTAGACATGTGCAGATATAGGCACATTCATTCGAGTGTTTAATATAACAATCAACAGTGCTGCAATCAGTATTGTCAACGGTGAATCTGAAACATACACAGAATTAAACTATTCGTCATGATTAAAATCAACTACATTGTACCTCTTTTTGAAGTGTCATCGATCATATGGAAACACTGCTTAACTTTGGAATATTGCTTTTTACGTTTGATCCTATTCTATAAACCAAGGTATAGAGAGTACTGTTCGTCTGCACACTGAGTGATAGAGCATGTAATGCTAATCTATGCATAATCATTTCATAATCTAAATGGCTTGCATAGAAATTTTTATTCTCTTCAGTTTTAAACAACTTGCATAAACCTTAACGCTGCACAGTCAAAAAGGTTTTAACCCCTCTGGTAAAACTAGCAAATTTCAGTTTAAAAAACTCCAGTATCACTAAATTCTGTTTTTCAGCACTTAATTTACAAGTCAACATGATTTCCAAGTTATTTCAGTTGAGATTTCATAATTGAATATGTTCATAATGACAGAAGAATATCTTTAATAAATAAAGTAAAACTGTATTAGAAACAAACAAGAATAAGTTACAATGTAGGTTGCTGAAAATTGCTACGTATAGTGTAAACTCTAATTGGAAATATATCTTTAGCACAGATCCAAGTGAAGAGTTCATCATTTCATCAATAACAATATCCTACTGGACTTTAAAGCACTTATAATATGATTTTCATCTCCATTATATTTATTTGGTTAAATCTCAGTTACAAAGTAAATTCGAACTTTTAAGTCACTCGCCAGTTATGCTTCTTTGACGTCCTACAAAATTCTTGTATTCATTTACAACTTACGTAATTTCGTATTCTCTACTTTGTTCATACGTGTATCCTGAGTACAACTCAGTCATCAAAATATTCATATTATTACGTAAATCCTTTTTAACAACTGTGTGTGTGACAACTCATCACCTTTGTTACTACACTAGTTTCATTAACACCCAATTTTCTTGACCTTTTTCATATTACGTAACTCCACTCAAAACTTACTAATTTTCACCAGTTTAGTTAAAATAACCAAAACCAATTGTATTTTTGTTTGATCAATCGCATATATATATATATATATATATATAACTAAGAAAATGAATTCGCCGAAGAGACTGTTCTTTGAACTACATGTTGTTTTATTCAAAAACGATTTTTTCATGACTTTTCGTTTTTTTTTTCAGAGCATATTGTGAGAAACACCATATGAAGACCCTAAATACTGCAGACTTTGGAAAAGTAATGAAACGCGCATTTCCGAATGTAAAACCTCGACGTTTGGGTCAACGGGGACAATCCAGGTGAGTCGGACTACGTTTTCATTATAGTTTCTGGAAACACTGATTTTCTATTGAAATGTCTACACACTTTAAATGTGAAGCGGGAAGAGCTCACTTTTTTGTAATAGTTGTTAACCAATACTTCGTTTCTGGTAAACACTACACAGTAATACAGGAAACAATAAAGTTGCAGCATGATTACTACTTCTTTGGATTTGAAGTCATATTGGATGAAGCCTTAAACCACCCGTAGAGTGCACTAATAAATATGGAGATTTGTATTTCAGGTGGATGAAATTGGTGTAGTTGTGTTCTCTGAGCTATATGGCTTAGTTGCGAAGCTATCATTGTCCTTCTAGACAATGTCTTCAGCGCATGCTTCAATTTGTAGTGAATTTTTTTAGGATTCTCTACTAATTTATCAGCTATCCCTCTTGTTAACCCTGAAAGAGAATAGTCATTTCTGGAGAACCCTAAAAGCTCTCTTCATATCGAAATATGTGCTGATAAGGTTGTGTAGAAGGAAATCGGCAACTTCAAAACGGAACTATCCAGCTTAGAGAACACAGCCACACCAATATACTAATAAGTGCAAAACCCTGCCGACTGCACTCCTCCTCACAGCTATACCCTATAGACTAGTAACTTCGTTCAACCAGTTCAATAGTAAGTAGTAAACTGTACAAACCACTGATACGAAATAAATAGTGTTTTAGCCCACAGTACCCTTGTTTCAAAAGGTATGATAATGGTGTTCGTCTCGATCGGAAATGTACAACCATACTGTAGAATTACATGTCAGGTACAAGCATTCCTTTGGAGATGACGAAGTGATTCTGGATTGGGTATATATATATATATTATTGTTCCCTTGGGTTCCTAGTGGAACATAGGGCTTCAACTGCACGCCTCCACTTGCTTCTGTCTTCTGCTGTACTTTTCACTTGCATCCATGTTAGTCCATACTGTTTCAGTTCCTCATCACACGATCTCCTCCATGTCACCCTTGGACGTCCCACTCGCCGCTTCCCTTTCGGGTTCCACTCGAGGGCCTGACGCGCGATGTCACCCAACGGCCTCCTCAGCGAGTGTCCAATCCATCTCCACTTTCTCCTGCATATTTGTTGGGCGATTGGTTCTTGTTTCGTTTGTCCCCATAGTTTCTTGTTGGTGATTCTTTCCGGCCATCTGATCTTCAGTATAGAACGAAGACAGTTGTTGATAAAGGTCTGCAGCCTGTTGAAAATATTCTTGGTGACCCGCCAAGTTTCTGATCCGTATAGCAAAACTGACTTGACGTTTGTATTGAAAATCCGTATTTTGTTGTTGATGCTGAGTGACGAAGATTTCCAGATTGGTTTCAGGTTGATGAATGTGTTTCTCGCCTTCCCGATTCTCGATTTGACATCCTCGTCCGTTCCTCCTGTAGTTGAGACAATGCTCCCTAGATAAGTGAAAGAAGTAACCTCTTTCAAATCCTTCCCGTTGATGGTGATTGGCGCTGGATGTTGCTGTTGTTGTTGTTGGTTGGTTATTTTCATAACCTCCGTCTTGTCTATGTTCACCTGTAGTCCTGTCTTTGCTGCTTCTTCGACCAGTTTGTCGGTTTTCGCTTGTAAGTCTTCGATTTTGTGTGCCATCAAACATAAATCATCCGCGAAATCCAGGTCTTCTAGGTTCTTCACGTCGGTCCAGGATATCCCTGTCTTCTCGTTTCCCACTGTCTGACGCATAATCCAGTCCACCACAATTAGGAATATCATTGGTGATAATAAGCACCCTTGTCTGACTCCTGTGTTTACTCCAAACGCCTCGCTGAGTTTTCCGTTGTGGATCACTTGACATGTGCCGTTGTCGTACAGCTGTTGAATAAGGTTGATGAATATTTGGGGTACGCCGTAGTACTCGAGTAGTTTCCAAATTACTTCGCGGTCAACGCTGTCGAAGGCCTTCTCAAAGTCTATAAAGTTGAGGTAGAGATTTGATTGCCATTCCATGCTTTGTTCGATGATAATGCGTAGAGTTGCAATTTGGTCAGAACATGATTTGCCTTTCCTGAATCCAGCTTGTTCTGGTCGGAGTTCTGTATCCAGTGCGTCCTTTATTCTCTCCAGGATGATGCGACTCAGGATTTTACTTGGCGTCGACAGGAGCATGATTCCTCGCCAGTTCTTGCAGAGTCCTAGGTCGCCCTTCTTTGGTAGTTTCACGAGGTAACCTTTCCTCCAGTCAGTAGGCACCTTTCCCTCTTTCCAGATCTTTTGCAATAATGGAGTCAGCATATCTGCTGTCGTTTTTGGGTCCACTTTCAGTGCTTCCGGGGGGTATTCCATCTGGTCCAGCTTCTTAATATATATATATATATATATACTTACCTTATGCCTGAATACAGCAAGTTATAATGCTTAAACCATTTGATTACCTACTGTGTAGTGATTGGTTCTAACATTCATTTATTTTAAAACGGTAGTATTAGGTCCTCTTCACGCAATGAGCTAAACATACAATGTGACACGTCTACTTGAGCAGTTTTGCTTGTTTCTTACTGGTTACTCGTAGTTTGTAAGTTCTATGTCAGGAAGACTGCGTATTTTGAGTTACCTCCTTCGTTAACAAACATAGTGGCTGAAGTCGGACTGGCTTAGAAAAGGTCAGGAGTAGTCAGTCAGGCTGTAGCATCGATCTAACAGATTATTGGTGGTTGATCTGAGTCATTCAGAGAAAGTTGGGCTGCCTGCATGACATTCCTTCGATTTTAACAGATAGTGGTTTGACGTCGAGAACTGAAGCACTTCTATGCAAAGTTCCACGCTGATCTATTGGTCAGTCATTTGAGAAATCTTGTTTAATTACGCATGTTTTTTTAATAGTGGTCTGCTTGCCTAGCAGAAAAAGTGCCATGAAACTTGGTTTTGCTTTTGCATACTTTAAATGAACTCTTTTAATAATTCACGTATTATTCATCTTACTTTAAGTTACTTGCAGTCGACTAACATGCTACCTACCCCAAACTACATTTGATAGATTTCATAAAAAATGGTTATTTCTTCTTTCTCCACACATAGTATTAAAGTAATGAATAAATTATTACGTCAGATTATTCATTATAAATTATTTAAATTAATCCCAGCGTGTTAAGAAAATCAAAACAAGATTTTTCTGAACGTTTCGCTGTGTAAGCCACAGCTTCTTCAGCAGATTAATTTAAATAATTTATAATGAATAAATTATCTGAAATCCTGTCAATTTGTCACTTGATTAGTACTAAAAATTAGTACTATGGCGAATTTAAGAGGGAAATCAGTATTTTGACATTATATCAAACAGAAAAGGTAAGACATAGAGGAGATCTTTATCTTTCCACACAACCCATATCGATCTGCAACTACTTAGGAAACTTTCTTTCTTTTATCTGCCGCTTGTCGTCTTGCTGTCCGCTAACTATCTCACATTTCCGACGCATTACATACAGGCTTTGTCTAGTGTGCGCTTAAATCACATAGTCTACTGTCCTACGTGACCCTTAGTCATTTTTCACGTTTAGATATCGCTGTCCAGTAGGCATAAATGGATTCGAAGTATGTATACTACCTTGTATTCCAGTCTTGAATTTTATTGTAGACCCAGTCTGGTTTTCTCAAAGGGGGGTGGTGTGATAAATTTAACATGATACTTTAAATAATAACAATTGTTTGGGACGGACATTTACTCGATTTACATTAATACATTGTGATTGGTCGTTGTGAATTTTGTGAATTTTCATCTCATCCCTTTATAAACTAAAATTAAATCAAATTGCCTATCCAGACCCAAATAACATTGTTTCAGTTCCAGTCTTATTCCGTATACTCGTTTTTAGTTGCTGTTAGCCAACAATAATTTTAAAAGAAAATAAAAATGTTTGGATTGGCTTTTATTAGAGCATTCACTATCTAAATTTGTCTAGAAAGATCTACTCATTTTAAATGTATGCAAAATACCTGATTTATTGATGTGATTTGAAGTATTCTGTTTTCCTATCCTCAATAATCGCAAGCAGGTGGTGTAAATTAGCAGCTATAACAACGGTCGTTATATCTAAATTCCTGAAAATTCCTTTCATCTATATAATTGGACCGCATCTCAAAACACTATCAAGGAATGTGTGTATATCTTGAGTGAGCAACTTTGGATTCAGGTTCACTAATTTACTGACTCTATATCACCATAATCTCGCACCAGGAAACAATTTTTATGTTTCCGTCTCACTTATGCTAGACTTTTAATGCTCACAAGATCTGCATCAATATTAAATGGCTGACTAGTTGTAGTTGAGTTTGCTTCTGAGCTTCATATCTTTGCTGTAAAATCAACCTCAGCCTTCGAAAAAAAGTAGTTTGTAACAAATTCTTCATAGCTGTCTTTTGCAAAAGTTCCACCTAAAATTACTGATGTACTTGACATGTGTATTCCTCAATCATATGTGGTTAGATTATCAAAGTGAATATTTTGTAGTTGGTCTCTACGCTATTCACAATAATACAAATCGATCCCAAAGGGGGATAACAAAAGTTGTAATTCATCGGTCTATACACTTACAACTACTGGGTGTGTTCAGACCATACTGTCTATTTCAGTTTAGGAAACTGGGAAATACTTTAAGTACACATTAAACCTTGTTCACTATTTAATACACAGGGTTGTACCGGGGGGTTAAGTTGTATCTTGGTTTGTGTTTAAATCATCCTTAACCACAGTTAAACTATTTACATAGTTTAAATAATTGCACTATTTGTACGTAACATACTTGTTCCCAGTTCTACTAGGCAGTTGAACTGGTTCAACTTATTGGGATGTCTGCAGAATATTCAGAGGCAAATACGTTGCAGAGATATTGTAGGCAACGGTCTTCTGGCAGTTGTTTCTTTGTTTTTAAGACCTATTATTCAACCCAGTGGTAACCTGTTCAGTCCCATTATTTGAGATAGATGCATCAGCAACCCCCAGCGGAACTGTAGTTTATTTTCGTTTTTCAGTAGTTTCTTGTACTTCAGTACTTTTTGCACAATCCAATAAAGACATGGCTTGTCGACGCTTGGGTTCAAGTCACACTGTCTCGTTCTCAGTGGTGCAGATAAATTCACTCTCTGATTTATAATATCCAATAAAATCCTATTGTTCCTCCATATTACTATTCTTTTTGCCTCATATTCCTGTTTAATTTCTCTTTTGAATCTCTCTTTACTCTCTTCTCTTGCTTTGTGTGCTACCTGGAGCGTGGCAACCCGAACTGCTATACAGTGTGCAAAGTCCTACGTTGAAACCAGTCAGTCAGTCAGTTATCTCCTGCTGCCCTGAGCAGCAAGTCGTTTTAGAAGTTCCCCCCTACATTGAATGCCACTGTGTCTTTATTGGTTACTTTGAACTATTTTTTATATTTAGAACGCATTGATTTTTCAGTACTACAGGCTTTAAACATCCTGTATGTTTCCTTAAGAATAAATTAACGACTAGTTGTATAGAACATGTTGCTAGGCTATTCACATACATTGCAATAAATAAGTCCAAATGCCAGTTCACTCATATTCCTATTTTTGAATGTTTTGGGAACATGTCTTTTACTGTCAGCCTAATTTATGAACAAAGGAATTGAAGCTCTTTGAATATTATTATAAACAAAACTAATGTTTGTATGCTCAGAAAAAAAATGGTTTCTGTTACTCGTGTATTTACTAATGTGAATAGGTAACATATTTCTTGATGACTAATAAACGTGTAATATCTAGTGGTATGAGGATTTGAGGAATTGAACATGATATTCTAAAACGGCTGGTGAAATTAGTCATAGGATAAACTAGCAAGTGGTTAGCTGACATAAAGCGTGGTTATGACTCAGTGCTAAACAATTTATTTATTCGGTTAGGCTAATTACATAAAAGCATGATGACGAAGAAAGCAACCGCTTGTAGACATGCCGTAAAATTGGGTTATGCTGCAAAATTTGAAATATTATGGTAGATACTATCACCTTGAGAAATTTTTGAAGTTATTAACGTGAGAGAAACTAATCTTAGGTAAGGTGGTAAAAGTTAAGAATTTCCGAATTTAGACAATGAAGTTCACTTCATTGTCTTCCAACAGACAATACCTACTTCTCGTTCTTTTGATCTCATAAATCTTAACATCGCATTTCTGTCATTTTTATCAACTCATCTAACTCAACACAGTATCACTTTGCTTACTATCCTCAAACAAAGTGCCAATTTAGTTATTTCTCAACATTTTGTATTTAGCAGTCATGATAATGCATACCAAATGTCCCATAATTTCTAGTGGATATTTATTTAAGCTAGTGGGACTATATTACACATGTGTTCTAGATTCCTTTTACTGACAATCATTGTTTGTGAATGCCATAGTCACCACCTCAAAAAATTTTGTATTATTCAGGATTACTCACACTACCACCACAAACACTGCATTAGACCTTGGTAGACTTTGGTACTTTTTCGCATTCATAATTATTTTGTGTTTATCCTGTTTTTTTTTGGTTTTTTTTTGCTGTTGGTGTCTTCAGATTTTTTTTGTTTGTTTAATACTTATTTTAAACGTCGGTAAAATTAGATGCAAATATTGTAGATATGTGCTGAAAATTCCACACTGTACCACTAGTACTGTTTCTGGAATAAAGCAAATTATTATTATTATTATTATTATTATGTCGTTAATACTGTTAAAGTAAGTTTTACTAGTGGTGTTTGTATATTTTTAAAGGTATTAGTCTGTTTCAAGTTTGCATAAATTTTGTGACTAAAATATATTTATTTGAAAAGGGTTGGTGTAATCAATCAGTGATTTGTATGTACAACAGTTATAATCTATTCAAAAATCTAGTTTTTATTTTTCGGGTTGAATAGATGCACTGTAGAGCAAGTGTGACACTGCTCATACCTTATTCAATAAATAAGTGTCTTTTTGACAAAGAAGTAGGTCGGGCTTTCCACGTGTCCTGTGTCATTTACTAAAATTTCAAACCAATAAGTTTTTCAATGATGTATTTCGGTTTTCTACTTCCCTCACTCAAGATATTGTTATGGAGGCATGCGTAAAAAGACTGAAAGCCAACCACCATTTCTACCTGATCTTACAAACGAAGCTCTTGGAATGGCATCTCAAAATACAGTTAGTAGATCCGCAGCATCACCAGGAAGTAGCTCTGGAGGAAGTTTTGAAGCAAGTTCTCAAATAAATATTTCGTCCAGTAGTCCGCTAATTCGTCTTCTAAAGTCTAATGGACCTGATATCGATTTAGTCAGTTGGGCTGATGATCCATCCATAAGATCCGCTCTAGGCATTCGTGGTTCAATCGTGGCTGACGTGGCTCACATTCTTTTGGAGTATGCTCACCAAGTTTTTGGAGTGCAATTTAAGTCATTGTTTCAACTTGCGCAACATCTGGTTACAAACCGATATGTCAACTCCAGATCAAAACATGCGTTCGCTTTAATCGCCCATGCAGCTAACCCTCCTGTTTCATTTTCTCCACCACCTTCCACAGCTCTAGCGGAAGTTCTTCAAAAAGGTTAGTTCGCTACAGATTGTAATTCATTCGAATATGTTATATCATTATGTCATACATGTTTACTGAGATCTCAATTTTCTATCCCTTTTGTTGGGTTTTTCATGCCAATATATTTACTGTGATGCATTTTAACATTGTCACATTGTCTTGTATAAAATCTCTCTCGTTAATTCTGGTCAAATAGACCAATCTGATGAGAATATACAGTGGAGGAAGTTTTCACACATTTTGTAATACTTCTCAGATGGACAAATTCTAAATAGCACGTGGTACATTGTAATAGGTTTGCGGATTATCGCAAGCTGCAGGTAATTGAATAATTAGCCTTTAGAGAACATAAGTGATGTAGTCTAGCTTGTTCTAGTTTAGTGGCACCAATTTAACAAGCTATAACTGTAATCTCGTGAATCACACTGGCTGATGCAGTATTGAATAATGCGTTGACACTGGTAAGTGAATGATTGCCTGTAGGTCTTTCTATTTCTCATTAAGCCATACTTTCGTAGACACATAACAGTTGACATGCACATTTCGAAGCGCATAGTCTTGTATTTTTTTGCTGTATACAAACCCAGTCTCTTCTATTTGTATGCTGCATTCTTTCCCACCTGTTCGCTCAGTTAATTCATCTTATTGTGTGGGCACAGGTGCATAGGCTTCATTCTCATCTTATATGACGTGAGTTTGCTGATGTATCTGCATGTATAAATATACTAATTTGTATGCAACGATAGTTCTTTTTGCATAAGTAAATAGTTCACATGGTTATTATTGCACTATTGAATAAGCAAATCATAGTGACTCACTCACTCACTCGATAGTGCATGTAATTCATGGGGAAATTGATGTGTAGTTGTACGTCTGTTCCACTGAAAGAGTGAGATTTCTTTTTTATATATGAGGGGACAATTTGCAAGTCTTATCTCAATAAGACTTTATCCGTTATGTCCTATAAAAACTAATTTATTTAGTCATTTTATTTATTATCATTAATGCAGTAACAATGTGGTTACGATTTGCTAAATTTTTTCATCGTACTTAATATTTATAATCTAGGCGCTGTCAAGTCAGCTTTTGACAAAATTCGAAATGGTCGCCAAAATTCAGCAACCAGTGATTCATCTTATAGATCGGAATGCGTTAAATTAGAAGGTAAATAATTCTTTATTTGACTTATACACAATAATTTTTGTTTTATCGAGCTGTTAACTATGTGATTTTATCAAATCTAAAGGTTTCATCGAAAGAGTTGCAGCTCATCGATCCGTGTACTCAACTTTTGACAAGTGAATCAACAGAATAAAACTCTCTGCATATGCACTGGTTTCCATGTTATACAGCCTCATACATAAAGTGCTGTAACACTAAAATAACGTATATGAATGTGGTTACTGAGTTATATTTAATTCAGAGATTTCAACTGTAAATTATTTGCACTCTATTTTATCTCCTACCACGTGGCAATGTTTTAATGTTTGTTTTAAAGTAGTAATTTTGTGGAGGTGTGATACTGACATTGTGTTCCAACGGAATATTATTCTCACATACTCCCACAGTTATATACTGTATTAGCAACAGAATACTATGTATATTTGAACATTCTATTTCACATCATTTAATGTAAACAAAAGTCACACGCCCAATGATTGGTTAGAGAATATAAAACTATATATATATATATATATAAATGGCGGTTTGATCACTTTAAAATATACCTTGGCTTCCTTGTTTTGCCTTCTGGTGTTACAGTTTCACATTTCTTATACCTTTCCTACGAGCCAAGTGTTGTCTTATTGTCTTTTCGTTAAAAAATGATTAAAAGGACACCTAAGAGCTTTACATAGGAGTGCTTCTGTTGAAGTGGCGTCGAAACTACATTCAAAATTGAGTGAAAAAGATAGATTGATGCTCCTGTGGACATAAATGGGAGACAAACTATTGAAATAAAGAATAGTGAGTATTCAAAGATTTTGAGCATGAGGAATATTGAATATGAAATATTTCGAGTTATGTCACCAAAAGTTTTCACCCACTATTCGAGGTCTATGGAATTTCATCCATGTATGCTTGACTTCTCAGTGGATGCGAACCCCTCTCCAGGAAGTACTGCCACACAACAGGTGTGTGTCTCATCGCTAACTGTGTATAGATTCAAACGCTCTCGAGTGGTATTTGTTTTCTAACTTTCAATATAACCGTATTTTAGCTAACATTGTTTATCGAGGGATCCAGTAGATATACACTTGTCATTCTATTTAGTTACGATCCCCCGTTTCATCAGTTGATTCGCTTTTTTTAGGAGTTTGAAGGTTTGCACTGCTTTCCTCATGAACTCACATCACACGAGCAGTGGAACCCATGATCAAAACCAGTATTTCATTAAAGTTGGCTTTGCGGTATTATGTTAATACATAATAATAATGAGATAAACACCGTCTTCTCGATGAATAAATTAACAGGTTTACAACTAATCAGTTCCACAAAACTTTCGTTTAAGAGGTATATCTATAAGTGTTACAGCAGACTGTTTTGAAATCATTTTGTTGCCTCTAGGTGGTCGTACTTTGAACGTTCATAAAAGTATTTTTCCCCAGTGGTTGAATTCACAGTAAATTACAAACTACTGGGTAATTTTTTTAGGCCATCTAAATAATCAGTTCTTATTGCTTTCCATCAAAGTGATTTCCTAACTAATGTGTCCAAACATTGTGAGTTTAAAAAAATTCTATTGAGTAACAGTGTTTTTGAAATCTGTAATATGGTATTTGCCTCTACTTTTTATTAATAGCAGTATATCGATATTACGAGTGTAGTGTGTTCTACAATATGCTAATATTTAGTATTCCAATATACTTAAAATAATTCTTATATTCTCTATTTACAGGTTTTCATACACCTATATCTACAAACAACAGTTCTCCAGCAAATGCTCTTTCCCAATCATCTGTATCAGATAACAGAAGTGCAAATCTCTCTGCATCTCTTCCTAATCGTGGTATGAATAATCATGGAATGCCAACACTTGCATCTTCTACTCCTTATAGTACTGTTCAGATGCCTCATTGCAGTACTACTGCACAGCGTGTTGTTGACAACAAATCATATGAATTAAATACTGCTGCATTGTCACAAAATAGTTGTGTCAGTTCGTATACAGCTTCTGTTTTGGCATCTCCATCTGCTTTACAATCTTCAAATCAACATATATCAAATTATCCTTTTACTTTTAGTCAAGTAAATATGACGTTTATTTTAATAATTTTTGTGTCTATCATAAATTAATGCATGCAGTCCACATTTTTTTTAGCGGTAATAAACTGAATAGCATTATAATAGAGAAGATTTGTAGCTCAGATGAATGATTTTGATTTGTGGGTGTTCTCTGAGCTGGTTGATTTAATGGCGATAGCTTAAAGTGAAGCTTAAAGATTTCTAATGTACACTTAAAATTATGTCTGTTTTTCTACTCTTTGTAACTATGACTGCAGATATCTAAATAATGGACCATAGACTATAGATGCCATGTACTACTATTGAAAAGAGGAAAGTAACTGGGTTCACTGACGTCTCTTTTTAGGGGGTCCATTCATGCAGCTGTACAAATGTATTCATGCACAATTTTTTGATAGGCATGTGAAGTTGAAGTACACATACTGTCTAGATTACCTCTTTATTTTTAATCTAATCAATCTGCAAGCCAAAAAAATCTTACTGTATCCTTACGTTGTTTATAATGGAGGTTGTCAATTGTTGTGTAAAGTTCAATGATTGTCTGTTTTCGTAAATCACTTTTAAATATTTTTCAATCCTTTTCAGAACCTTCGAAATAACTCCTTCAATCATCCATATTCACATACCGGTTCTTCTGGTCTAACACATCCTTCAGCAGCAATGGCTTTGGCTGCAGCTGCTGCTGTTGCAGCACATCAAAAACATCAATCCGGTGCACCAAATTTTTCCCCTAATGTTTTCGGCTCTAACTTCTCATCTCCGCTTGGCCAGATCGCTGGTCCTATATCACCATCTGTGGATTCCCGACATATAACTGCTAACGCTGTTTCTACTCCACCTGCTGCTCATCGAGAGAAGCATTCCGGGTATGACTACTTCAAATGGTTTTAAAATTTATTCATTATGAGGTTTTAGGGTCACTTTTACTTTATGGTTTATACGTGTGTATTTGGAGATTTTTCTATATCTTTCGTAGTTCTTTTTCTTTTCAACCATTAATTAGTTCCTTGTGTGCATTCTTTAGCATTTTGGAAACATCCACACCAACTACCCAATCCGATTCAGTCTATTCAAATTTGAGTGGTTATCATTCTCCGATCACTGGTAACTCTATGTATGCTGCTCATCAGCACACTTCTCCTTACCCAAGACCACAACAACCACCTGCTCCCCTTCCACCAGGAGTTGGTGCACGTAGTCCGTATGCTCAAGTTTCACACCTTTCTGCTACAAACACGGACTCCAGTCAGTCAGGATTCAAACGGACAGTCCCACCTCATCCTGGAGAAGCCCCAGGTGCATACGAGCCATCGGTACGTGTAGTTTGTAAATGATTACCGATTTTCATCAATCAATTGTAATCTATCATTTCGCTTATTATTCCTTCCGTTATGTTTTGAGTGGTACATAGAGCTTCAGCGGACTGCGTTGAAAGATCTGTATTAAATTATTGTGACTTAAGTTTACAGTTCTCGCATAGACTTACTAATTGTGTGCTGATGATATCACGTATTTTTTGCACTTTTTTGTATTCAAAAATCTTAATCTTTTGGTACTGGTGTTCTGCCCCTATGTTTATAGCCACGATTCCATTTGGGTGGTCAAAGTCCAAGCAAACGTGCTCGTTATTTGTCAACAGCTTCTGGATCTAGTACTCTCTCATTATCAACAGATGGTCCACCACTTAGTGGTGGTAGCTGCCCAGATGGTAGTGAACGTTTTTCTGATCAAGTGACACCAACTCTGGATCAAAACAATTCTGTAGCTGCTCCTTCACCTTCCAGTAGTGGTGGCAGTTCGTCAAACCCTCCACATATTCCACCAAATCCATCAGGTTATTCTGGGCCATGTTCTGCCCCACGCCAATATTGTGTTAATACTCTCGACCAGTCATCATCCATGCCTTCACCATACTATCCTGGTCGCTATGAAGGACTAGAAATGCACAGCCCTGCACCCCCTCCACACGGTCATATTAGGTCTCATCATGCATCAAATAACACAGGATCATCTAGTTCACAATGGAATGTAAGTTACTTCATTGTCATGATTCTTGAAGCTATTTGTTTATTATTCAGATTGTTTATTCTATATTCCAGTCTTGTTAGCATGCTGTAGTGCCGACTTCTACCCATACGTAAACGTCTGACTTCAAACCGTGTATACATTAATCCTGAGCGTTAATTATAAAGTGTTAGTCTACATGATCCCTTTGGATCTAGATTTAGTGTTTCTTACTTTTTCTACGATTTTGTGGGAACTCACGCTTCCTCATTTATTCCAAGTTATACCACAAACTTCGACCTATTTAGATTGTGACTGATCACTGACTTCTCTTCACTCTTTATTGTGTTTCATTGAATTCATCTATTGGGTAAGATGTATACTCAATAAGTTGTATCATACTATTGTAACAGCAGAAGGCAAGACACGGAAGCCAAGGTATATTTTTCACTGATCACACCGCTGTTTATATGTATACAGTTTATATTCTTTAACCAATCACTGAGCGTGTGATTTCGGTTTACATTAAACGACATGAAATAGAATGTTCAAATAGATATATAGTATTCTGTTGCTAATGCCGTATTGAACTGTGGGAATATGTAAGAATAATATTCCGTTGGAACGCATTGTCTGTATCACACCACCATACTATAACGTACTTCGCTTTCCTTATTTCCTGTGATGGATAATGCTAAAGGAAGTTACAAACTAGATGAGAGATTTATTGAAATTGGCCTTGTTTGTACTCATTTTACTTCTGTATGGTTAGTTTTCAAAATGTTTATATCTGATTGTTTACCCCATTGGTTTTAGGTTCCTGGATTATTGCCGTCTACTAATAAAATCAATTCTTTTGACCAGCAGTCTGATTATTTAATGAACTCAAGATGCCAAAATTATAATTCCAATCTTTCCGTATCAACTTCAGACCGCACTTCTGTTTCAACTGTTTTCCGGCCACCTGTTACTCCCTTCACACTAGAGTTAGAAGGTGAAGAAGATGGTGAGAACTTGCCTCGACTAGGCACTTCACCAGGACCACAGATACCACCTAGTTCACCTACTGAGTTTTTACCGTTTTATTCTGAAGCTGCTAATAAATCCGCTCAGGCTCAACTTAGACAGAAACAGTTAACAGAACTCACTCCACGTGTACACAATACACCGGACAGCGATGATCGTGGAACTAATTCGGATAATAGTTCGCCTTGTATAACGCTTGTAAACATGAGTCGACCGGATGTTCGAAATAATCCTCAAATCACATCTGCAGAATACGTAACAACACCAATGACCAATCCTGTGTCTCACTCTGATGAACTCTTGTCACCAAGCTTGTCAGATTCAAATGACCGTACACTCACTATCCTTGATAACTTAGATGAAGTAAACACACCACCAATGCCAGATGGTCTGGCTGATGCACCGTCTCCAAGTGAGGCAATGAAAGAAAATTCGCTAGTTCGAAAACGTGAGTTGTTGAATGCATAAATAGATTTTGTATTTATCTGTTTATTTAGATACAATAGAGTAAAAAGCTCTAACTACCACCTGCTCTTGAATATTAATGTCTATGTTAACCCACTATAAGGATGTCACTTATGTTGAAACGAACTAAGTCACTCTTTTAGAAAACTGAATTTCATGCTGTTTCTTTTCATTCTTCAGGACATTTGAAGTCAGAATAAAGTGATGAAGTTTATAGATCTGTGAATGAATTAGCTTAGTACAAATGGATAAGAATATTGTTGCACTTTTACAAATTCTACAACAATGCTCTATTTTCGTGAAACTTTTGTATTCTAATTTGTTACTTTTGCTTGGGTCGCGACTGATGATTGTGTGAGATCATCAGTTGTTGTACAGGATCCTCATAACAGTGACTTGAGTCGTTCACATCATCAAAGTTGAATCCTCAAGATATACAGATGTCGCCTGTTGCAATTAAGTGGTGTGTGAACTCCACATTTCAACGACTGTAAAGTGAAAATTCCTTCTAACTGCTAAGTAAAGTGGTATCGTGCTTTTTAGGCACACCTTTCTCTTCCAGGGAATTCAGATAAATATTTTAAACCTGCTGTTGTCCTTCTATGAACTTGTACTTGGTAATTCCACTTCGCTTTACGTAGTTCGGTCTGTAAACTTGGCAAAGCGAGTGATTATGTGTGTAAATATTTCTGTACTTAAAATTAAAGTAGCAACTTTTTTTCCACATAAGAGGTTGCTGTAATTTATTCTCCCATCAAAGGTTAATTTATTGACTCCAGTTATGCCTACTTTCACACAACAATTACGACTTTGCATTTTGGCACACAGTTTTAAATTTATAATATTTACAAATTTTTTCACAATGTCTATTCATATAGGTGAAGAATTGCAACACGAATTAAGCACACCCGGTCCTTCTGATCGTAGTAGATCGCCATCTTGTCCAAATAACGTGAGTTCACAAAACGCATTTTAAATTATATATATATATATTAAACTGTGATCTGAAGTCACCACATCTGATGACATCCATAATTTGTTTACTTGAATCATTCTCATCTCTAGTTGTAATCGACACGCAGATAACTTACATTCAACAGAGTACTAAGATGCTCATAAATACACTTCAATGAGTCCACTTATTTTACAACTCGCGTTATCTTTAGTCAACTTGTCTATGAGGGAATTTAATTAGTAATTCGGCATAGTATTTCTTTTAGTAATTCTCTAGCTTTGTTTTGACATTCACTGTTTTAATAAGTAATACCTTCAAAAGTTTCCAATTCTACCGTTTTTAGCTTAGGTTGTTTCGTACTTTAAATTTGGATTATATTCGTCACTCAGTAATTTACTTACACAGACTTAGTTCTCGCTACACATTTTAAAAAATAAACCAGCACGTGACAGCATCTTCTGTGGCTAAATATAGTTAAAGTTGGCAAAAATTTTTTTTTATGCTAAGAAATCTACAGCAGTTCGTGGCATTTAATGCATAAAATAAACATACACAACACCCGTGCGCCAAATTACCTCCTTTTCAGACGACTAGTATTTAGTGCCACAGAACTGGGTTGGAGTAACTTCCAGATAGCTAGACTGGATCGTGACGTATATAATTGTTGGTCTAAGTCATTTAGGAAGTTGTTGATTGTCTAACACTGAAGGATGCTTCAAAGTCAGTTGTTAGAGATTTTGAATTAACAACACTTAAGATATTTACACTCTTTATTATCTCCGAAAATCCTTTTACAATCTTGTATAATACTATTTCACCTAAATATTGTCCACAGTGATTTCATCTGGGTTTCCGTGCATTCTCGTTTTGCATCCTTAATGTCGGATGATTATATGGCATATAGCTTTTCTGAATTGGCGCCACCTCTATCCAGTGGATATTACTGCGTTTCAACAAATAGACTAAAATATGCCAGCACGATATCATGGAAATCCAAAAATATACGTTTAAGCTTTGGAATTACTGCACCCATTAATCCATTACATCGCTCAGATATCAGCATCAAGCTCCATTTTCCGATAAAAATGCAGCAAATGTAATGCAGTTCAAGCGTATAATACCACTGGTAATATGTAAGTCAAGAAGGAGATTCTTAATGCAAATTTCCATTTGGAAGGCAGATGAAAAATATAACTTGTCGCTTTACCACTACGACGATACAACTAGCAGGGATATGCAATAAAGCCACTCCTTAATGTCTAATAACTAGAAATAACTCATTTCCATTCAATATTGTAGGTTGCTTTTTGAGTTACATAGTCAGTCAATTTTGCCCTTTTCATATTGAATTGATTTTCAATTCATACTCGAGTTTTTCAGTTTGAACTTATTTTTTTTTAAATATTCGCACTAATTTTTTTTTCAAAATTTTATTAGTCAGGTTCAGTCCAGTGTTCAAATTCCGCAGATGTGAGTATCACAGCCTTCTAATTTCTATCCATAGCCCATATTTGATGAAGTATACTACCGTGCATTTATATAGTTTCGCATTGACGAGTTTTTGAGTGAATTAATTAACGGATCCGTGCATTATTAACTTTATATACATATTTCTAGTCTGTGTTTATCTCTTTACAATAATTGGGTGCCGGATAGATAATCAAAGAATATACGCACGTTAAGACAATATAACTAGATGTATTCTAGATTCAGTCTTAATTTTGCTGAATAGTATTCTTTCTACCTCTGACAAATTTGGTACACATTCTTTTTTGTTTACCCAAAGTATAGACACATATAGACTGCAAGTTTTACACACTTCCATCCTTCATTTTATTTTTTTACATACGCTTTTGATATAGAATTTTTCAAATAACAAATGACCCCTGTGTTTGTGTGTTGACTCTTGCGTTTTTATAAAATATTTTTTCACTTGGTTCACATCATAACCACCAAAGAGCCTTTTTTGATTGATGTACATGCATATGTGTATTTATATATATCATGAACTGTAATTTTTCATCAGATTTTCATATTTTAACATTGTGCTTTGTATTTCTTGACAATTTTACAACCCATGGAGGAATAGATTGTGGTGGTAATCGGGTTGTGACTATAAGTTTTCGCATATATATATTTTTGTTCCCGCATATACCAAAGTTTTGTAGTTTCATGTATGACTAAAAATTTTTGAATAAGCATTTGAGTAAGAAAAACTTGTAAATTTCCTCTCTCTATATTTTTTTGATTAAAATTGGATGACTATTATGCTTTATAAGTGTGAAGACAAATATATACATATATTTTATCAAGCCTTGTGAATTCTGTCTGTCTTAAATGCTTCGAGTCGTTTTTTTTAGTGCAATTTCACTAAATGACTTTCACCTTATGAAATAAATAAACACACAGTCGGACATTGGGATTGTTGCTGTCAGTCAAGTGCGTAGATTGTTTTAGCGCATTTATGTTCAAGTCTCCGCTGAAGCATGTTTTCCTCGTGTTTCAGTGAAGAACAAGGCTCAGTGGCGATAGCGGCTTTATGGTTTGACTCACTGATTAACATGCAGTTGTAATCATCTGATGACTTTAGGCAAGGGAAGTATGTAACCTACACCTTTGATACTTAACTCAACCCTGTGATGACATTCGCCCTGACTCAATTGCTCGATATTTTTAGTTTTATATTGTTGGGTGATACTGTTGTGTCCCGGCTTTTTCGTAGCGTGTAGTTTATTGACAGATTGTAGCATTGTGATTCCGATTACTCTCTGAATACGTACAACCTTCACCTCTACAAATGCGTATCTACTGAGGAAATTATGCATATATACATCTGTCCCTTTATTTTACGATGGTAGGGATACGATAAGACAAGAGGGATACGATATATGTCCATAACTCCATATGATCAGTGTTCGGCTAGGAGACTGTTAGCATTTTGAAAAGAAACTACGGGTGTTCCTTGTTTGATACGATGGGCTGCAAAACAGTCCGTCCTGTTGCAAAGCTTTACTACTTCAATACTCGCAACTTTTTTTCCTCGTGTCTTTCTTTTCTGGAATAATTTGATTGTTACGAGTGAATCCTTGTGGATTATAAGGGAGCCTAATCCCCGATAACCAGGTATACTTCCACAAGAGAAGGAACAAGCATCCGTCAAGTTTTGTGTGGAGCTATCTTCAACCGCGGACAGTTCTATGGCTAGCGGGAACTGAAGCTCTCAATATGATATCTAATGTTCTCACATCACAGACGATAGGTGAATGGACTCAGGAAAGCCGTTTGATTATGACATATGCTAACTGTGTCATCTAATTTTTATTGTGATCACATCTGCTGTAACTAGCTCTTGCCTTCCGAAAGGGAGCTTGAAGTGTGCTGATACTTGCCATAAGAATACTTATGCAGGTAGCGAGAAATTATGTCCCTGTGTTGATGAACAGTAAAGGGTCCTCCAAACATGGTCGAGATTGTAGTCATTAGAACAAGGAGAGATATTGTAAGGAAGTCCACCTGGAAGTATTATCATGTTCAGACTCAACATGTAGGAGTGAAGACAGTTTTCGCGAGCAATTCAGCGCCAGAGGTGCATATCTCCGTCTGATCAATGCTAAACTTGACTCAGATTAGCGTTAATCATTGGTTGGATTCTGAATTTGATGAGAAAATCATTATATTGCTCCTTCCAGTATTGCAGGGAAGATTTGAATCAGTTAATTTTGTTAGTAAATCGTTTTCTCCTCATTAGGTTGTTGCGACCGCTCAAAAGTCGCCGATTTATTTAGAAGAGCATTCGGCAAACCACATGAAAATCAATGCAAGTGATTCAGCGGAGAGACTTTTTTCAACGAATTTATTATCAAGCTGTACAATGGTATATATGTGGGTTTTAAGAAGTTTTACGACCTGCCTCTGACACCTCAACTGTACTACCAGTAAATGAAGATAGTACTGCTGTGTTACTTAGCATCAGTGAATACCTTTACCATTTTAACAATAATGTCAACTGATGTTTGAGGGCATTCCAACTTCTCTGAAGTGGAGATATCTGCTTTATTCGTCGGGAATAGCGCGTTTCAAAAACGGGGAACAATATGTTAAAAATTGGAAGTTGCAGAGAATTTCCCCCTTTTTCCAGATTCCGCACAATGTCCAATTTTACGTCACATATCCCCCCTTATTGACGCATAATTTCCTACTAATTTGCATTATTTCCCCCAATTGTTCGCATAATTTCCCACTTATTCGCTTCGCGTCAACCAACTAGCAACTCGCCATCAAAATAAAGGTTCTTTATAGAGAGAAAATTAAATGCAAATATTTCATTTAAAAAGCATGTGGGAAGTATAAATTCTCACTAGGCCAACAAAGCAATGGAATACGATGCCATAATTGGCAGGCAACCGCTCCTCGAAGTAAAATGATGAATTAACAGATTTCTGTTTAGGTTGGGGGTGTGCGTTCTCTTGCTTGCATGTGACTTAAACCTTTTCTGTGCAGTTGGTCTCATTTCAGGACCATTTGCAGGTGGTGGTGGATTCAAGAGTCCATAGAGAGCCATTCCTTGTCTTGCCTCTCTCGACCTAAGACGTCTGTGCAGATTCCCTCCCGCGTCGCCCTCAGAGAGTCCCACGCAGGTTCTGCGGGCATCGCCTAATGTCTCCGACTTTGTTTTGATGACCGAAATAAATGTGTCCTTTGTAACTTTATTATCTTTCAGGTTTAGAGTGTCGAACTTGTATTGTGGTCTATCTTCAGCTTATACGAAGCCTTTCTTCCCAATCTGGTATCCAGTAGGCAACGTATCCACTTTCTTGAGATTGAGATTGAGTCCATCTGATCTTCGATGTGGCCTGTCTGGTAGAATCCACCTAACTTTGTGTATATCATTGTTGTTGTATACACGTCCTCCAATCACCAGATCTTTAGGTGCGCTTAAGTCTTCAGTGAATTTTCCGCTGTCATTTATTCCAACGAATGCCTCTCGATGCCTGGTTAGCTCCCTTTCTGTGTTGTCTGCTCCCAGTGGAATTTCGATGTCGCCATCTGAGTTCATGTCTACCACTGCTTGCAGTTGTCTGCAGAAGTTTTCCTTCTCCGCTTGGTCTACGAAGGTTGTGGGAGTGTAGCACTGTATAATTTTAACTTCCCCTCTTTTTCAACTGTGAGTATTGCTGTCATTATCATGGAGGAGGTTGGTTCCTACTGCATGAGAGTCTTTGATACTGTCGGTAACTTCATCTTAGCCAGAACCTAAGTGTACTCTTGGTTGCAGTTATCTGGATGACCGGAGTAGGTTACAAACTCTCCAGTTAAGAATTTGGAGAGTTTACTTGTATTCCATATACTCTCAGATTCTTAACACTGTTGTGTCTTATCTTCTCGTCTCCGATAATCTGAGCGAGCTTTGCCAGCCTCAAACATTGTTTGGGCATTCCATGTGCGTTTAGTCTGTTTAGTTATGAAGCTTTCATCGGTTTAACCCCACCTATTTTATCAGCTTGCTAGTTTTCTAGCCGGTCACAAGTCTGTGTAGAAAGGGAGGTGTGGGCGTTGGGCGAGCAAACCCGCACCACTAAAACCTATCAAACTGCTGGAGAAACTTCAACACACAAGAACACATTACAAATACAAAAGCTTCAAATAACAACAATCTTATTCTTCGCTCGAATTGGAGAAGCGAAATAAGAGAGGGCTTGTGAAAGCCTCCAGGAAGCCAGTCAGAGAGCCGATGTCTTCTTTCGAAGAAAGCGAGAATAAGAATGGGGATGTGGAATGTCCGTACAATGTACGAGACTGGGAAGGCTGACCAGGTAGCCAACGGAATGCGACGATATGGCATATAACTGCTGGGTATCTGAGAGAGCAGATGGAATGGATGTGGACTATCAAAATTTTCAATTGGCGAGTTAGTAATCTACTGCGTTCTGATCAACCAGATGGCAACCACGAGCACACTGAGGCAGTGATTGGCTATCATGATATGACAGGTGGCAGTCAGAGCCCTAATGCAGTGGGAACCAATCACCCCATGTAGCATTATGAAAGCAGGATTCAACTCGAAAGGAAGTAAGGAGGGTCACAATAATCCAATGCCACGCACAATCCTACAAACAACGCGGAACAAGAGAAGAAGGACGAGTTTTATAGACGACTACAAACAGTAATGGACGACATCCTAAATGGTGACATCTGCATCCTTATGGACGATATGAATGCCAGCCAAACTGGGAGCAGGCAGTATAGGAAAAGAGCTCATCATAGGTCAACAGGCTCTAGCTGCACGAAATTAGAACGGAGAACTCTTCACTGACTTCTGCGCTTCCACTGATTCGGTGATCGGAGGCAGCGTGTACAAGCACAAGGACATATACAAGGCCAGTGATATAGATTTCACCTGACGACACACTATAAACCAGATAGACGTCATCTTAGTGCTGCTCAAGGAAGTGGAGACTCAACCAGACTGCTGGACACACCATGATCTAGTTCAAACAACCTACCCACAAAGTGAAGCTGAAATTCCTCAGAACAACTGGAGGTAGGCCACTGTTATTCAAGTCGAACACTCAGAAACTGAAAGACAGAACTACAAGGGACGCCAACCTCCACTACAGATCAGATCAGAGCAAAGTCAGAGACACTACGTGGTATCAGTATGAAAACTTGTGTGGAAGAACATTGGAACTGACTGTTTGAAGGTGTGTACAACTGTTCTAGGAAGAAAGAAGAGGCAAAACAATAAGAGGAATGGCTGTCAACGGACACCTACCTGGAAGCTAATCGAGGAGAGGAGAGTGGAGGTGGGTGGTGAAAGAGAAGATAACTCAATGAAAAGATGGACATGAGAAGGAGAAGCTGAGTTGAATGTACGCTGCACTAAATGAAGAGAGAGAAGAGTGCTAGGAAACACAAAAGACAATTCAACGACGCGTTGGCTGGTGGCAAGTGAAGCAGAACAGGCAGGCAAAGGGGATTTCAGAATATTATATCAGATAAACAGGTCAATCAGTATCCGGGCAATGCTCAACCCAGATGATAAGAGCAGCAAACGATGTTCAGGGGAACCTGATTATCAAGGAGAAGAAACAGATAAGACAATGGCTGGCGTAGAATCATGCTCTTCTCCAAGCGAAATAAAAAACTAATTTGCGCCATCGTGGAGAGAAAACAAGATGCACTGTATGTAGAACTGCAACGCACCAACCGGAACAAGCTAGATTCAGGAAAGGCAAGTCATGTGCTGATCAAATTGCAACTCTACACATCATCATCAGTGAACAAAGCATAGAATGGCAGTCAAACCTCACTCTACCGCAACTTTATCGACTTCGGAAAGGCTTTCCATAGCGCGGCGTTCACCGAGAAGCAATTTGGAAACCACTTCAATACTACGGTGTGTAGTGCCCAAATCTTTATCTACTGCAATTAACAGGTAGCTACATGACAATGTCATGTGTCAGGTGATCCACAGCGGAAAACTCAGTGAAGCCTTCTGTTGAAGTGAATACAGGAGTAAGACACACTGGCTTCCTATCTGACTTCACTGAGGATATGCCTAATTGTGGTGGACTGGATTATGCATCGGACTGTTCACAGAGAGTGAGAAGACAACAATGCGCTGAACTGACCGATAACAAGACTTCAAACGATGTGGATTTTGCGGATGTGTGTCTAATATCACACAAACTCGAAGACTTACTGAGGAAAACCAAAAAACTGGCTTATGATGCGTGGCAGGCATCGAAGATAGGATTCAAGATGAACATAGAGAAGACAGAGATGACGAAGATAACCAACCACCACCACCAGCAACAACAATAACCAGCACCAATCACCACCATAGGGAGAGATTTAACAGAGGTTACCTCCTTCACTTATCTACGAAACATCGTTTCAACTACCGGAAATGCAAGATACTCCTTTATCCACCTGAAACCACTTTGGAAATCTTCTGCACTAACTCAGCATTAGGAACAAGATTCGGATTTTCAACACCAATGTCAAGTTGTTCCTTCCATTCTGGTCAGAAGCTTGCACTGCGCACCACGAAAAGCATTTCCAACGTGTTGCAGACTTTAATCAACGGCTGCCCTCGCTGGCTGGCTCCATGCTGAAAAACAAGCGGCCAAAAAGAATAAGTTACAAGAAACTCTGGCTGGGAACAAACCAACCAGGAGGTGATTGCGCAGCAAACATGTCGCAGAAACTGCAGATGGATCGAGCATACATTGAGGAGGCGGTCTGATGACATAGGACTCCAGGCCCTCGAGTGGAATCCAAGCGACGACTGGGTCATCCTGGGGTGATATGGAGTAGGTCGTGTGAGGGAGAGATAAGGGAGTTTGGACAACGATCGACTCAGCTGAAGAGGATGGCAGAAAATATAACATGGTGGAAATGTGTTTCTGAAATCCTATGTTGCTAGCCATCATCTCCGTGGGTGTGCAAATGTTGCAGAAACCCGTTGGATATCCTCATCCAAGAAGCAGTAGGACTTCTTATGTCCGAGAAATTGTTGAAAAGTACAGTTGAAAAGCCTGCACCAGAAATCGATGCCAAGAATGGTGGTCCAGGACTTAGTTTTAAAACTGAGACTGTATCACCTCATTAAGTGCCAGACACAAAGGAGACACAGAGTGGCCAAATATCTGCTGGGACAAAGCGCAAAAGACAAAGAAAATCTAAAAGAGCATGCAGTGCCAGCATGTTAATACCAGCTGGTGAAACGGCCGCGCCAAATCGCAGCGTATCTAGTGTGAGACTGGCTTCTAGTTGCAGAGAAAACAAAGTGGAAGAAATCAACTCCACTTGGTTAATGCCAACAAGTGAGAAGCTGAATAAATGTAGGAAAGAAACAGTAACCGTGCTTACTATCAAGGTCTCGAAGGCCGTTAATACCAACCACACTCCACAACTCAGGGACTCTAGTTACAGTTTCATCATCTGGAACTTAAAGGAATCTAAAAACACAGATCCAGCTGCCCGATATGCAGATGATCTGAAGGCGGTTAGCTGCATTATCCGGGGAATACAACTGGAGTCCACATAAGAAAGGCCATCATGATCGGAAAACGAAACCCTGATGCTACGGAAACTTCCCAACGACTACTCAAGGTAGTTTTAGGGAACGAGACAGAGAGAAAGCACCATCCTCAACAACGCGTTCAAAATGAATGATAAAAGTTTAAAAATAAGGCCTGATTGGCCGTTAGAAGATCGAACCATGAGAAGATAAGCCGCAGGTGAACTAAAGGCCAGGCTAGAGATAGGCGAAAAAGACCTCAAGCTGTTGGGTTTTCAGGCAGTGAGGTCTGGAAAACCGATGCTGCCGAAACTACTCTTCATAAGCCGGATGAACACGTAGTAGCAGGCAAAGTATGCAGTCGGAAAGATGGGAGTTGCTCTATAAATCCGGGATGACATAGGAATTAGATCAACGTTCTCGGAAGCTCGTGACAGCGGCACCAGTGAAGCCGCAATTTGTGTCATTAACTTGAACAAAAGCACGTGACGATCGGGGTTATTTACAAATGTCCTGCTAGCCAAGCAGAAGACTTCGTTCTAAATCAGTTGAGGGCGTGGAGTAGTAGAAATAGGTGTCTGGGTGTTGGTGACTTCAACGCTTCTCATACTAATTGGGGGGAATTGGACTCCGCTAGTTTGTTCACCTGTTTCAATAAGGAGCTGACAGTGACAGTGATTGAATGTGCATTCGTGCAACATATGCATACGCCATCACGGTTTCACCCTGAACATGATCCGTCTTCTCTAGACTTGGAGCCGACACACCATAAGGAGGATGTCAGCGACATTAGGTGCCCTCCGCCGCTAGGCAGTAGTCACCATGTACCTACTACTTTTACGTTTAAGATTCATGCTCTCACACACAGGTCAACATCTGCTCATCCAAACTTGCGGAAAGCGGATATACCGGGAATCCGGAAGGCGGTAACCCTGGCTGACTGGTCGGTTGATACAAGTCGGACTGTAGAGGGAGCTTGGGTGAGATTTACGAATATACTAGATTGTGTCACTTCACCTTCTGTACCCTGATACACTCCTCGAAAGCTATCGCATAAGCCACCTTGGATTACTAGTGAAACAAGGAGGCTATTAAGACGGAGGAAGAAATTATGGGACCAATTTTTATGACAGGAAGGGAAAATTCCCAGAAGGACTACCGCAAAGTTCGAAATCTCTGTAAGTACGTGACTGACAAGAGTCATATAGAGTATGAGAGACGGTTAGTACTAGATTGTGTTCATTACCCGAAAAGACCGTACTCGTATATTAAACGTAGGACCAAAATTTACAGTGGTATACCGTCACTCATAAGCATTAGTGGAGAATTGGCTGAGTCAGACGAAACAAAGTCTGAAAACCTCTCGGAATACTTTTGTGATGTCTTTTCGTCTGATCGTACCACCCAGGGGTATGGCGAGATCACTGCCATTGCCACTAAAATACTCTCAATTGTGGTGGAGGACGCAGTGGTTCTCAAACTACTGTCTAAACTGAAACCAGCTTGGTCACCTGGGCCCAACGGACTTCACTCTAGACTGTTAACCTCCTTGGCGGACATAACATACATTCCACTTACGGAGACTTTTCGAATATCTCTGACCCAGGCTAGGCTACCCAGGGCCTGGAACGACACCATTATAAGCCCTATCCTCAAAGGGGGTAACAGCCAATTGGTATCTGACTACTGGCCGTAAGTCTGACATGCATTGTAGCAAAGGCATGGAAACTATTATAAGGGATCAGCTGTTAGCTCATGTTGAAAAACATGGCTCCCTGGCGGTGGAACAGCATGGATTCCGACCAGGATGATCCTGCCTGACACACCTACTATTGGCTAGGTTAGAGTGGGTTGAGGCCAGAGACAAAAACCTTCTGTTGGACGTGGTTTTTATCGATCTTAACAAGGCATTTGGTACAGTATCCCACTTAGGTCTCCTTAGTAAACTTAAGGATTTCGGATTAGACCAATAGCTATGTGAGTGGCTTGGGGATAGAAGGTTAGAGTTGACGGTTTAGTATCAGGGTGGAAAGCAGTGTCCAGTGGAGTGGCTCGAAGAACCGTATTAGGCCCCTTGCTATTCCTATTATACGTTAATGAACTACCGGGGATTCTTACTTCGTCTTCATTATTATTTGCGGACGACACAGGACTACCTAATGTTAACGGATAGAATGACCTAGGAATCATTGTCAGCAGTGATTTGTGAACAACTGCAAACTGCAATGCAGCCACAGCCAAGGCTTTTCGAATGCTATGGGCATCTCGAAGTGCATTCGAACGATTAGATGAGTCTATGTTCAAAGTACTCTACGCAACATATGTCAAGCCTCATTTAGAATACTGCATACAAGCGGTGAGTCCATGTTTCAAGAAGGAGGGACATATCTTAGAAAGGGCATGAAGAATAGGAACCAAATTAGTTAGTGGTATTTCACACCTCCCTCACGACAAAAGGATGGAGCACTTAAATCTCTTCCAGTCATCATACTGAAGGAAGAGAGGCAACTTAATTTTACAATACGGCATACTTAAGAGTGATTTAGGAACTGACCTTTCTGTTGTTTTCTCCCCTTCGAGGATACACTAACGAGATCACCGCAAAAAGTTGCTCAAACCGGGGACGATTAAAATGCGTGTGGAATTTAAATTCTCTCATAGAGTGGTCAACAACTGGAACTCCTTACCTGACTCAGTAGTAATAGCTCCATCGGTGAACGCTTTCAAAGATAAATTAGATCTCTGCAGAGATATATAGTGAAAGGATTAACACAGACCACAAGAGCCTAATATCCTAATCATCTGAATCTGACTTATTCAGGATGCCTTTTTGGTTGCCATTACTAGCTAAATTTATGTTGTCTTCATATACCATATGAAAGTAAGGTAGTAGCGGCAACAGAGCGAAGAACGACGTAAAAATAACACTCTGTTACAACAAAAAGTCACAGGAGCATCACATGAAAATTGAAAATGCCTTAGAAAATATCATCCAATCAAAGTGAGTCTGGTGTACACTCAGTCATCAGCGCTGTTTACAATAATTTTCTCTACAGTTTAGGATAAATGGTTTGGAATGAGGCGTCTCTTCGTAATTTTGATGCATTTGCTAAACCACTTAAGGACTTCCGTATAAAAACTCTTTCGGGTGCATTAGGTATGAAGTGTGCTTATCTCTGTTATACCTTTCACTTGAACTTTTAGTCTCAATATTGAGTACTTTTATTATTGGAATTTTGTTTATATCAGAACTCCTTTCATTCGTACACCCTCAGAGTAAACAAGAAATAATAGTCGATGTTAACCGAGGGGAAAAAATGCTTATTTACCTCGATGTAACTCTGAACTATATTCCGTGTACATGTAAGTTACAATGCTATACTTCTCTGTATTCAAAACGCAGTCCTCAGATTAGACACAATGGATACATCAGGTGCACAACAATTAAATGTGATGCATGAGATCTACAAAACGAGTGTTTCAGTCGATGGTACTCCTCTGTCGGACAGCGTTCGTCATAGTAAGCATGTATAACATCCTAAATCAATGTCGATTATAGCTGTCAACGATCCTTCAGCTATGACAACAACAAAAGACCCCAACTATTGCGGCTCTTGTTACGGGGCAGAGTCTCCCACAAGAAAGTAAGTCACCAGAAAATTAGTATGAAACATATTTCTCTTGTCCATAGATAGGAATAGGCTTTTCTATTTCGCGGAGCCTCAATATCGCCTTTTCCTGCTAGTCATAAGATGTCTCTTTTATTACACTACTGTCTGCTTGTTACAGTAAACAACGACGAACTCACAAGAACGTCTATTGGTGCTGAGTCTCTCGGAGAACCCACGGCGTAACAGTCTCCAAAAATATACAACAAAAACTAGCAGATTACCAAGTGATATTACCCTTCACCCTTGAGATACTTATATAGAGGATATATTCTGTATATTAGCCTCTAAAATACTGAGTCAAATATGGAAAGACTCCCTAAACTAATGAAACATTAGACTGACTACTAAAAAAAGGTTGGAGCATTTGTGGATGGTATTACAACCTGTTACAAACAAACACTGAATATTGGTATAACGTGTTTGAGGCATTATTTTAGTTCCATTTCCATGCAGGCCACCTGCAATAGCGTCCCCTGTTTGTATTGTAAGATTCACCACAATGGTTAGTGTTATTTTAAATCCTGAGTGAGTTCACTGAATATATGCACATACAAATACAAATCATTACGTTTCTCGACACTCCCTTTGTTACTTCCTTAAATTTCTGTGTTAAAGATAAAGGCCCAAAGTCATAATCCTCCTTCTGATTAAATAAAGTGTGGATAATAGGCAAATTATTTACAGAATGCATGTTAGACTTCAACAACAATAACTACTAACATCGTTCACAAAGTGTTTTGAAATTGAAAGAAAAGGTTCCAGTTGAGTCCTGAGTAATAAGGATAAAAAACCTAAAAAAAGTGAATTGATAAATATCATTTAGCTTGTGTTCAACCTCTTCATTATCACTGTTAACTAGTGCATAAAACTCGAAGCATCCCAAAATTTATTTTGTAGTATGTACACTGTAGGAGTAATCTCCATTCCCTTAGAATGCTACTTGAAATCCGCCTCTATCTCAGTAATATCATAAGCCGTCACATTTGCTTTAGTACACAATACTAGATGAAGGAACTGATAGACTTAACAGTATTAGTATAGTTTGCTCATAATGTTACTAATAAATAATTATGAATTGCTATTGTATGAGGTACTGATTTCCGATACTTCAGTGTTAGAAAAAATCATTTTTGTTCCTTCTCAGTGAGTGTAGATGAAAAAAGAAAGACATGGTATTTAAAAGTAATCTGTTCAAATCTACATATTTCCGCACATAAGGTAGGTCCCCTAACGAAACAGACCACCATTGAAAGATAAAAGGCATCATTACCATAAGACCAAACATTACCATTTTGTGGTCTATCTTGCGACACAATCTGTGGCTTGAGAAGACAAATGAGTTAATAAATCAAAAGTGACAAACATGAAAAGACAGCAAAGAAAGGATAATCCCGTTGCATTTTAGATGAAGATAAGGTATAGGTGCATCTGCATTACTGTGGTCAATTGAACCACAGCTAAATAATCTAAACTTCGCCACACATCTCGAACGGGCAATTATTAGATTAGTGGGTTGGTGTGGTATATTGATATGGCTATTATCTTTTCAGATGATGGGGTTTCCATAATGTGGCTCAATCATTTCAGAAGATGGTTTCTAACTCACTAATCACTTCAGTAGTTACTCTTATCTTGCACACTAATGTGGTGCCTTTGTTAAACGCTCTCAACATTACGAATACGATGTTGAATAAATACTTGATGTTTTTGCAGACCTACCTGTATTTAGCATACTTTGCAACCGTAGGGTAGTGCCAGACAGTTTTGCTTATTTGACACAGTGCCTAGTTAACAATAGAATATCTCATCTGTGTCATTAGTGGCGTAACTTAGCATAAACCACACTTTCTTCTGTATGTGTCAAAATATTTTCAGCCATCGAACTGGTCGAGCTTGAGACTTCTCAGGATTTTGAAATGGCCAACGCGATAAACCACTTCACTCTCTATAGTCGAACAAAGTGCTGATGTAGACCAGTCATGAAGTAAAAATTTAAAAGCATTGAGAAATACACTCCTATCTTAAGAATTTAAGTGCCGAGGAAACTTCTCTTTGCTTGAAAAAAACTGTTGTTTGTGTACCCTTAGTTTGCTAGGATATATGCTCCAAAGAAATCATTATCTGTAAAGGTTGATACGAAAACAGAAACTTTCACAAGTATATTTATTATGAAGATTGGAAGGGTGGATAAACTCACTCATTAGCACTGACGGCAAAACTCACTGGATATTTTAATGCGCTCAGTGGTGTTTGAATATCATGTCTTCCTTAAAGAAATGTAATTAAAGCGTATCCATTTCGGTGATTCACAGTTAATGAAATATACAATAATTCATTTTGACGAAATAAATAAATTCATATAAGTAATCCAAGTGTCAAGTAGCGAAATACTTTCGCTATGTAAGAGACAAAAGTAATCATGGATTGGGATATATGGGAAGTGTTTTGTAGATCTATTTTATTGAATAATTTACTAAATTAAACCACTCAATCTTATGTGCCAACTACTGAGCCAGTGTTTTTATTCTAGTGAAATAAAAACATATCTGATTCCAATTCAATCGCCAGTTTTATGCAATTTGTTTAGTTTTCGTGTACATCATCAAATGTGCTTATTCTTTAAGGTGCTGTAATACATGTGAAGAAGTTCAAATGGCATATCATGAAATGCAATGGGTATTTTCTAACGCTTCTGCATTTGAACAATGCCGAAATGAAAACTGGGAGGACATGAAACAAAAGATAGGGAGTGAAGGATGCAGGATTCATGGTAGCCTAACGGTAAATAGAGTTGCGGGAGCTTTTCATATTGCTCCTGGCCATAGTTACACTGAAGATCATGCACATGTTCACAGTATTCAGAGTCTCGGGCTTGTTCAAGTAAGTTTGAGTTTGTATTTTATCATAGCCGTCAGAATTATTCAAGTCGTTTTATCAGCTCATTTCTTACGTTGGCACAGGAACTGTGTGAATTGATTGCTCGCACTTATTCAACTGACTTGATATTCACCTCGACCTTGTATATGGTACCGTCAGTTTTAGAACATTGTTCCGTCACCTGCTGTTGAAAGTGCATTCTCACGTTTTCTACGTATGGTTTAGGACCTTTCTTTTGAGTTATTAGTAGACTGAGAATTAAAGTGCACACTTTTCCCGTGTTAAATTCAAATTTTTAAAAATTAGAGGTTTCTAACTCCAACTTACCAATCATTTCGATTACTACGCTAACAATATACACTACTGTGTTCTTAATTAAGTTTAAATAGCAAAAAATAACTTTCCATAATAAGATGAAGTGATCTAATCCTGATAACTTCTCACCGCTTCAAAAAGCTTTTAATTCCAAGGAGCATTAAAGCTAGCAGATAAATGAGTGATGGTCTTTAGCTGTTGAATATCACAGGATACTATTTAGTGGTTCAATAATGTTGGCATACAGTGCTTCTGGCGATTTCCGTATCCTCCGCTGCCTTCCCGCATTTCAATGTCTTTATGACCTTCGAGATTTCTGTTTTAGTTGGAGGGTGTGCGTTCTCTTGCTTGCATGTGACTTAAACCTTTTCTGTGCAGTTGGTCGTATTTCAGGACCATTTGCAGGTGGTGGTGGATTCAAGAGTCCATAGAGAGCCATTCCTTGTCTTGCCTCTTTCGACCTAAGACGTCTGTGCAAATTCCCTCCCACGCCTTCAGAGAGTCCCACGCAGGTTTTGCGGGCATCGCCTAATGTCTCCGACTTTGTTTTGATGACCGAAGTAAATGTGTCCTTTGTAACTTTATTATCTTTCAGGTTTAGAGTGTCGAACTTGTATTGTGGTCTATCTTCAGCTTATACGAAGCCTTTCTTCCCGATCTGCTGTACAGTAGGCAACGTATCCACTTTCTTGAGATTTGAGTCTATCTGATGTTCGATGTGGCCTGTCTGGTAGAATCCACCTAACTTTGTGTATATCATTGTTGTTGTATACACGTCCTCCAATCACCAGATCTTTAGGTGCGCTTAAGTCTTCAATGAATTTTCCGCTGTCATTTATTCCAACGAATGCCTCTCGATGCCTGGTTAGCTCCCTTTCTGTGTTGTCTGCTCCCAGTGGAATTTCGATGTCGTCATCTGAGTTGTTGTCTACCACTGCTTGCAGTTGTCTGCAGAAGTTTTCCTTCTCCGCTTGGTCTGCGAAGGTTGTGAGAGCGTAGCACTGTATAATTTTAACTTCCCCTCTTTTTGAACTGAATATCGCTGTCATTATCATGGGGGAGGTTGGTTCCTACTGCATGAGAGCCTTTGATGCTGTCGGTAACTTCATCTTAGCCAGAACCTAAGTGTACTCTTGGTTGCAGTTATCTGGATGACCGGAGTAGGTTACAAACTCTCCAGTTAAGAATTTGGAGAGTTTACTTGTATTCCATATACTCTCAGATTCTTAACACTGTTGTGTGCCATATCTTCTCGTCTCCCCGATAATCTGAGCGAGCTTTGCCAGCCTCAAACATTGTTTGGGCATTCCATGTGCGTTTAGTCTTTTTAGTTATGAAGCTTTCATCGGTTTAACCTCGCCTAGTTAATCAACTTGCCGGTTTTAGCCTGTCACAAGCCCATAATTTTATTTATTTATTTGATTCCTGTGCGTCCCGAGTGGAACATAAGGCTTCGAGCTTAAGCTTTGAAGTCTCAGTAGCATTAATGTTTATCTTTACGGGGTGAGGCTGCTAATCTCATGGCCAACCTTCCCTCTTTACAGGGCTTATTGCCAGCTAAGTGAGGTTAAGAAGTGTATCGGCAGAGGATCAAACCCCGATTCACATACTTGGTTGGTGATTAGTCTATCACTGAACCACCAACGCACGATAATTCCCTAATAGAATAACTTTATTCGTCATGGAACACAGTGATCCAGTGTTATTTGCTTATTAATGGTGTTTTAGAACACGACTCATCATTCACTGTTACAATTACCGTGAAATGAAATAATTGTACTAGCATCATTAGTAGGTAAATAGTACCCTGTCAACGTGTTCCATGCCGAAGATAATTATTTCATCACATAACTAGAGCGAAGTCTTATCAGATGAAGTTATTGGTCGATACGCTAGGCAGTAGGTATGTAAAACAAAGCAGAGTGGAATATTTCAACTGCAGCTTCATGTATTAAACCTATCCCAAGCAGCTGAAAGATAAAATTAATATCTCACCATTAATCATAATCATAACCCACTAACTAAGCCCATATCTTTTGATTCAGTTTAACGTTACACATTCGATTGGGTCTCTTCGTTTCGGTGACTCATATCCTGGTCAAATTAATCCACTAGACAATACGAAAACGACAATTGAGAAACGTAAGTAACGGATTTTTTAAATTCGGTTTTTGCCTCCACCCATCACCCATTACATCAGTTTTTGTCTAACAGCCTAAGGTTCACTCAAAATGCTTGATTGACAACATTAACTACTTATGGTATGATTGTTAAACCATTCTGAACAATAAGTTATGGTCGAAATTTTATCTAGTAAATAATATTAAGTCACTCTGTGATACATCGAATGAGTGCACCCTACCATAGTGAATGTTGCACAGCTGTTTCGTCCTATTCTGGAATGCGTCAACGACACCATCAGGACTTTTAGGTTAAGACACCAGTCCACTGAACATTCAGCCGCCGGGATGGAATCCATTGACCCATGAATTTTAACTGTTGTCACTTAGCGATTTATAGTGCCACCTCTAGCCAATGTCATCAGTGAGTATTTGTCCGCACACCCGACCTGATGGTACAACACTGGCACGAATTCTCACTAGAAACCGGGTTAACTTCCTTCTGTAGGCATTCGATTAATTTTCAAGTTGTTGATTGGCTGCATTAGTGAGCCAGTTTTACTCTTCTAATCTATTTCCAGCTTCCGTTCTTAACTCTAGAACATTCCTGAAATACTTTTCATTTAGCACTAATAAACCATTCCACTATTTGATTATTTGGAACTAATAGCTCCATCTTACATAACCAAAGTATGCGAATTTTCCGTATACTGACAACAAAATTATTTCAGGTTTTATGCAGGTGATAAGAACCGACTAAATAATATCCGGCTCACTTTGTTGTACTTGCTTTGTTCAAGTTCACCAAGGGAAAAATTGTACAAAATTCGTTGAATTTATATTTTGTACGCGTTAGGATTTCTTACGTGTATAAAGAAAGTTCTGAAGCCATTGATAAACAAATCTTCGGTAGACTTCGGTCTTACTCTCGAAGTGACTTCATGTGAGCGCTCATTCATAGCCTCTTTCAGGTAAGTCTTATGCATTGCCTGTACGCAAAAAGTGAAAGGGCGAATGTGAACGTCCAGCGCTTACAATCAGACTGGCACACATACTGGTCTACCCAGGGGGGCTGGAAAACCTTGATTCCATGCCTATGAGCTCCAGAATCCGAATGGATTGTGGACCTGTTTTGGTCTCTAGAAACCCTGAGGGCACTGCCCCTCTACCTTGTGGATCAGATTGAAGGTCAAAGGCTTTGGGTGGCTCCTTAAGACAATCACTTACTTCAGTCTGTGCAGTATCCCAGCCCTCACAGAAACTATGAGATTTTGTGTGACGCATCTTTTCATGCCCATTATGTACCAAGTTCGTGTTATAACAGTAATGAAACTTGTTACAAGTCAAGAAATTATAATTTACTCATTTCGATTGATAATGAATAATTCCTTGTAAGAGTCTAACTTAATTTAATGCATTCTAAATTGATAAAATCCGGCCTACTGTCTTGTGGGTTAAACTGTATTCCTCAGTTTCAACGATTTTTTTAGGTGTATAGGTGGTGAAGATTTATGTATTTGACATTTTAAAAATAACGTTGGATTTCATCATGTTTTTTTTACTATTACTGTTATCTCTATTGTTATATTCACATATATATAGATTCACAAATGATATCATACTACTTGAAATTGGTACCGACCATGTACAGCAGTCTTAACAAGCGGGTATGTTATCCCTAGTACATGTCTTTAATACTCATAAATAATATTAGATGAATTCGTTTATCAGTTGAGATTTTTTCTAAGCATCCTATTCACAGGCAGTTAACAATACAAGTTTTCGTATACACTTAACCACTACATAATTTAGCAAATATTATTAGCTTAAACAAGGTCAAGTTGTAAAGAAGAAGTATTTGCTTGTGCTGAATAAGCATGAATAAGTAAGGTAGCTTAGTCATTCGCCAAACGCTTCATCAAATGAGTATATACAATGCTACCTAGTCCTCCATGCCATAATGGTTGGAGTTGGATTTGAACTTAAGACATTTTGGTTAAAAGTGAATTGCTTAATCTAGCGAATCATACCATGCCAAATGATAATCTTTTCAAGATCACCCACTAACTACAATTCTATTCTGCTAGATTAAAAAAAATTATCAAGCTATGAAAAGTGTGCATGTATTCTTTCCAGTTTGTGAATGATTTTTGTTTTCATTGTAGGTCATTCTTAACCATGAGATTTAGACTTTCAGTCTTTATTTACGCCATCTCTTTCTTTTTATTTAGGATGGTATTTTGCTGACTAATCAATACTCTGCTACCTGGCATTCCAAAGGCACTCCCTTATCTGGAGATGGTCAAGGTCTACCTGGTGTATTTTTCAACTATGAAATCGCTCCACTACTCGTCAAGATTACTGAGGAAAAAAAGTGGGTATTTTACTAGTTAGTGTACGATAATAGCTAGAAGAGAACTTACTGTTTTTATATATGAATCTAGGCAGATTGACATCATTTAATTCTGCATAATCTAACACACACACGAATTTGCATGGCTTCCGGTTAGTTATGTGACACACATACTCATACTCAGCTGTTTATTTGTAGGGATTTGATTTGTTTCAAGTTTGATCACAGATCGATATAAGTTAGAGAATCATCACGATTTGGTAGAAGTTATAACTCATGAGCCATTGAATCGAGTCTCAGCGGCTGAATGGTCTACGAGCTTGCCTTGCTGCCGGAAAGTCCTGGGTTCGAGCCTCTGTGGGTGCGTACTTATGAAGAGTCCCAAACTAGGACGAAACAACTGTCCAGTACTCCCCAGTTTCTAGTGGTTCTCTAAATGATATCAATATGCGACCAAACTTGAAATAAATCAAGTTTCTACAAATTAACTCTTGAAAATTAATTTGATGCTCGCTAGTGACTGTCTATAGGATGAAGTTGCCCGGAGTTCTAGTGGAAATTCGTGACCAATGAAGTCCACGAGGTCGGGTGTGAGGATAAATACTCGCCGATGACACAGGGTAGTGGTTGCACTAAAATCAAGAATTGGTTGACCTGTTATTTTGTTTAGTGATGGTTGTCTTGTTTCTGATTCGGTTTGTGTGTAGCAAATAATCGTTGTCTGTAAGAGCTGATGTAACTCCTCACCTCAGTAACTTATTACACGTGTTTCTTTTTCACTTATTCCGCTAATAGACAACCTTAATGTATAGAGAATTATGATAGCCTCTGGTGTCTGTAGCCAAATTAGGTCAGTTGGAATTGGAACTTAAGACTCATTAACTGGAAGTTAATTGCTTAAGTCACTGAATCAAATTTTATGCACTGCGTAATAACTCAATAAAAACCATTTAAACCAACAAGTTGACCACATTGATATGAATTAATATTAATAATACGCATTGAAAATAGCCTCGTTCATTATTCTTCCATTTAACTGCTTTCAATATTGCAATTCTTTGAAATCTAGATCACTTGTACACTTCCTGACAAATACTTGTGCAATCATTGGTGGAGTATTTACAGGTAAGTAATAATAAAAGGTCTGTCTTTTTTCATGCTTGTTCTTCTTTTTGTTTCTTATGTTTAACTCAGTAAACATATACAACTCTGTGCACTACACAATGATGTGGCTCATTAGTTTGAGTACTCATTTTTCAGCCTATGCGTTGCAGTTTCGAATCCCGTTCCACCTACTTCAGCAAGGACAGCTGAGTAGTATCATTAGACCTTACACGATAAGCATGATTCTTAGTCTGGTAGATGAAAAGTCTGTTCCAGGCAGTTGAATTCAAACGAAGCAAAACTACATAATGAGCCATACTTATTGTGTAATTTTTTGCTGAAGCTCAATTACCCGGAACACATTCATCACTTACTGAGTCTGAGAGCCACACTAATCATATGAGGACTGGTGATAGATGGAGCGGGACTCGAACCTATAGCCCATCGGCTGAGAAACGAGTGCTTAAGCCATTAAGCCACATCTCCACTTAATGTATAATAGCTAATTATGCTATCAGTACAAGCATTGATAAAGTGGAACCAAATCTGGGAACTGTTTAGCTGATAGACGAATCTCCAATTCAATGAACTACAGGTGTCATGAGACGACTCAAAATGGTTATAGTCAATATGTGTGTTTGCATTGAGCTAAAATAAATTCTTTATTTTAATCTGCATAAAATTATTCACTTCTCATTCATTGATGTTAAGTCAGACGACTGTATGGATATGGGCCATATATCAAAACTATTGAACCTGTATGGATTTTCATTTTACACTATTCTGCCAGGTTGTGTATATTTAAATGGAAATTACATAGGTCGTAAATACGAAATATTGTGCTTCTTTTTTCCTTTATGTGGTTACATAAACAACCACTTGGCGCAAATACAATCCTTTGTAAAATATGATCCTGGAACCAGTGAAGAAAATCATTTCAAACAGATGTTTCTACTGTGAAATGAAGGAATTTACTTCCCCTCTGAGGTTTGAGGATTGCAGATACGCCTTTGTTGTGACATATGCTGACAAGCATGAAATCTAGGTTTAGAGCTTACTAACGATTGCCTTCAGTCATCTAACATCAATTCAGAATACACTGCAATGGTGAGTCATCTGGCTTGACGACCGCCATTGCCGACTTGACTGATCAAATTCAATCATCACCAACACCTAGGGACTAAACCCATGATTGTTGGTTACTTCCCAGTGACTAAAGAATGTAGCTTTACGGCTTTGTGTAGAAAGTTAATAATGGCCAAAATGCATTACGATTCTGTTTAGTGTACAGTGCTGTGCAAGTTTTCTATACTAGATAATAACACTGCCTGGTTAGTCACTCTTTAGAAATTCCAGCTAACAAGCTGAAAAAGAATTACCTAAACCAATAAGTTACAGTTTATACTCCTAACTAACTTTTCATAGTATCGTAACACGTTCAATATAACGTACAGTGTGATACACTAACCTATACCACCATGTTAGTAAAACTGTTATCTAATCGACTAGTGGAGTTAACTATCTTAACCTAATAACAAACTTGAAATCAATAAAAATTAGTCTGCTACTCACTAGTGACTGAGTACAGGATGTGCACATATGTGCAAAGTTCTATATCGAAAACCGACAGGATGAAGTTGTCTGAAGTCCTGGTGGGAAGTCGTAACCAGCGGGGCCCGCCAAGTTGGATATCAGGACAAATACTCGCCTATGACATTTGTCTGGGGATGATGGCGCTATATATCACGAACTGGAAGAAGTTATAATTGACAGGCTATTGAATTCCGTCTCTGGCTAAATGAGTACTCAAGGAACTCACCTTGTAACCTGAAGGTCCTGAGTTCGATCGTTAATATGGGGTCGTGGGTACGCACTATCTAGTGCTTTCTGATTTTCAATAGTCCTCTAACTGAGGTTATCTCGTGACCAAACCCATAACAAAAATATATAATTTCCCCTGAAATTTAAGAATACCAGTCTGTGATATATATCGACTGCGTATATAATTATAGAATTTTGTATTCAAATAACATTAATTTTAGCTGGCACTCAGATATCAATAAGCAATCACCTTTTTATGAGCATGTCATTATTATTATTATCCCGGACTAATATCTTTTATTTTTCTAATGATCTAGTGGCAGGTCTAGTGGATGCCTTCATTTATCAGTCTTCATGTATACTTCGTAATCGTCGGAATAAACACTGAAATGCCTCTGATGGCAAACACTCTAATTTATTTGTTCATTTCTACTTATTCCATAATATTTTCACCTATTGCGTTTGTCTTTCACATACTACTCTAACTTATGTACATTGTAGGTTAAGATACATTTTTTTTGTTTCTTTTAATTTATATCTGTCTGACTGCTTGGTTATTGTTAATGCTGAACAAATTCCTCAAGTCTTTCTTACTTGTATTTTCTTTGTTGTGCTTTTAACCTCTAATTTCTTTATTTTTGTGAGTTACGAAAAAATATATATATATACATAAACATCGTTGAGATATAATGAGAAGTCGTCTTCTTGAAAACTCCTCACATATTAATCAATATTGATCACAGTTGTTAGATTTCATCACGAACCAATATCAGTTAGAAAGATATCATTGAAAACTGAAGAGTACTGAACAGTTGTTTCGTCCCGTTTGGGGACTCATTCACAGTGCGCACCCATTACCGGATAGATATCCTTGAAACCATAGTGAGAAGTTGTCACATGTGGCGTACGCCACGTCGAGGTGAAGTGGATACTCATCGAAGGCATTGATCGGGGGTAGCGCTATATTGTGAATTGAATTCCTGTCTAAGTGACCGAGCTTGAAGGTCCCGGGTTCGACCCCTGGTCAGGTCGTGAGTGCACGCTGATGTAGAGTCCCAAAATGGGACGAAACATCCGTCCAATGCTCCCTGGTTTTCATTGATTTCTCTCATGATGAAATCTAACAAGTGAAATTAATCCAAGTCCCATAATCTAAATATTGATTGAATAAAGCAATAACATCATATGAAGCAGGATAAAACGGATTCCTTATATTTCGTCCGTATTTTGTCAACTTTTTACAAACTCATTAGTGAAAGTTAAATGTTTTACTACAATTTTAGTATACATTCGTTTATTAGACGAACAAATGTCGTGTGGTGATTAAGAATGGTCATGGTGCATAGACAAACCAAAACAGTTAGGCTTATAAAATGATAATGAGTTACTTTAGTTATTAGGGGATTATTATTATGTCTCTGAGTTTGATTACGAATGCCAATTGACGATATGAACGCTTGATAACTTCCTGATCGATTATTCCCCGACCCAAACTAGTAAAATCTATAAGACATACACAATAAGACTGGGACGTGTATTTCCAAAACAAGTGACTCCGAGTACAGGATTGTGTGGCATGTATTGATTGATCCAGTCACAAGACTCGAATAGTAGGCGTTAACTACAACATGGTGGATTCTGATTGGTTGATGCCCATCATACGATAATATTTGATTTGTTTTCATCCGAATAACAGACTGGTAAGATATATCGTGGACATATATCAGATTGACAGACCAATGCGACAGATTGTGGGTATATTTATGAGTGATGCAATCGAATTTTCTCGATAAAAGAGATCTAATTGTAGCGACAAGTTATTGGGAGCATAAATTGTATGACAAAATAAATCATTAGAAAATTCTGAATAAAAAAATTAATATATGCAAAAAAAACCATTCAGTCAAGTTCATTTGATCAGACAATAAACATATGAAGCATAGCGTTTAATACGAAATAAACATTAACATCTCTTCATGACACCAAAAATCCTAATGTGACATGAATTACGAATGTATGAGTCATCAAAGAGATCTCTACTATTCGTAATCTCACTTCAAAGCCTTACAGTTATTTGGGAGATTATGTGCGTATAATGGCAATTGCCAACAAAGGTCAGAGGTTATTGTCAGTTAATCAAAGTGTATTAGAAATAACAGTGTGTGAAAAAAATAGTGAGTAGTCTTACGTAATCGAGAAAGTTGACAACTAATTAATTAAGTGGTGAGTAGTTATTTGAGGACAACCAATAGGGAAGAAGAGCACAAGGAAATGGAAGTGGGTCACGAAAAAATTAAGAATAAATACATTAAGTTTCTTACTTGACTAATCGAGAAAGTGAAATAGAGAGAGAGAGAGTCTGGATAAAATGTTTGTGAACAAAGTTCAGGTTTTCTCTTATGGATTGTAAGGGAGGTGTAGGTGCTCATGAGCGCGTCTAGACAATATCCTGCTTGTATATTCTACGTACTAATTATGTCAAAGGGCTAATTACTTAGGTGAATAGGTCAAGTTTCTGTTCAGTGATATAAGAATAAAACTTGGGCACTGTGGTAGAGTGTAATTCCATTATGGGTAAATTTTTATTTTGATAGAGTCTCACAGTGTTATACAGTAATATTTACTGATGACGTTTCGAGCACAATTTATTGCTCATAATCATATCAAGGTAATCACACGACTTCCTAAATTCATTTATATAGTTCCATTGTTTTTCACTTGATTTGATTGGTAGTAATATTTTCCATATTTCGGGCATGAGTGATGATTCATTCCTATTGCATGTGTTGGGTGTAGATTCGATGAACAAGGATTCAGTAATCAACCTCTCTCTCCACCTACCTAGATTACTTTTTAGAATTTTAACCCTCTCCCACCATATTGTGTGGTTATGTGCTAATGCATGCATTGCAATTGCTGAGCTTTTTTCTAAATTACTTATCTTCTCTGGGTCAACCATTCTTACCTTAGCTAGATTCTTATGTTATCTGACTACCACTGACCTACTAGTTTGACCTATGTAGTTGACCTCACAGTCATTCCAGGGTATTTTGTCTAATTGGGTCCTTTTGTCTAACTGGGTCACGCAGCATCAGAACAAACTTCATTCAGAATCCTATTTAAAGATCACATAGGTCAAAAAATAAAGAACAAATACATTAAGTTTCTTACTTGACTAATCGAGAAAATGAAATAGAGAGAGAGAGTCTGAATAAAATGTTTATGAACACAAAGTCCAGGTTTTTTTCTCTCATGTGGATGGCAAGATCTTCAGTTGCATGAAGAAAATATAGGCGAAATCATTCTGACGTATGTGATCTTTGTATAGGATTCTGAATGTAGTCTGTTCTGATGCTGCGTGACCAGAAGTAATAATGGCTGATTACAGGACTATTCGATTCTAGGTAATGTAGTCAGTGAGTAATGGACCAAGTGGAAAGCCCATTGCTACTCCACTCCGTCCTTCTGTGGGTATATTTGGCCACTGAACTAAAACTTGACCTATACACCTAAGTAATTAGCCCTTTGACATAATTAGTACGTAGAATGTACAAGCAGGACATTGTCTAGACGCGCTCATGAGCACCTACACCTCCCTTACAATCCATAAGAAAAAAACTTGAACTTTGTGTTCATAAACATTTTATCCAGACTCTCTTACTACAATGACCTATGAGTCAATTTCGTTTTCTCTATTCGTTAAGTAAGAAACTCAGTATATTTATTCTTAATTTTTTTCGTGACCCACTTCCATTTCCTTGTGCTCTTCTTTCCTATTGGTTGTCCTCAAATAACTACTCACCACTTAATTAATTAGTTGTCAACTTTCTCGATTACGTAAGACTACTCACTATTTTTTTTCACACACTGTTATTTCTAATACACTTTGATTAACTGACAATAACCTCTGACCTTTGTTGGTAATTGCCATCATGAACATAATCTCCTAAATAACTGTAAGGCTTTGAAGTGAGATTACGAATAATAGTAGAGATCTCTTTGATGACTCATACATTCGTAATTCACAGTTTTATTCATTAAAAGATGAGATAATCAATTAAAGGTTGAGAGGCAAGTTACTGAGCTATGAAGAAACTTCACTTTCTTTGTGAATGCATGAATTGAGTTTCAACAATATTCTAGTGATGACCTAAGCTCAAGCACTCTGTTTTCAGCCAATAGGTCACAGGTTGGTGACCTCTTCGACATACTTCAGCGAAGTGCTCTCAATTGTAGTTGCCGGCCATATACCTGATTGACACGGGACATACAGTGGGAATTAGTCAAACTTTCAAAATAATCAATATACAAAGGAGACTCTGGTTACTTTCTTTCGAAGAAGCCATTGCTGTCAAAAGATTTTTAACCCAACCTCCGTATACAAAATGATAGAGTTGTAACGACAGAAGGCAAGAGTCAGGCAACAGATCATTTATTAAGCAAATCAACACATATTTATATATTCGCATGTACATTACTATGGATATTTAAGTAAATAAACACAGTCTTCCGATTGGTTGTTTCTCAAGTAAAGTTAATCTTTCATCTCTTTGTGATTGTTTCTTGAATGTCAAATCCTCTCTATGTTAACTGCATCCGCCTACGCATAGTATGCTGTGGTCGGTTTTGAATCAATCTTTGTTCACATTTTCTCACGACAAATCTTGGGAACGTAAATATTGACGTAAATTACTGTCTACCAATTTGGCTAGTAGACAGCTCTCACCACAGAGTGATAAACCTCTCAATACCCTGATAAGTGTAATTGTTTTGTTCGTGTGTTTGTTTCTGCTGCCTAACATTTCACTTCCTTTCAATTTTCATTCACTTGAGTGAAGTTAAAGAAAAGCAAAATGGAAGTTTAGATACTTGGAATTATAAAAAATCACCACATACTAATAGATACTTAGACTTTGAATCATACCATCCGAAATCGGTAAACATGGGCTCAGTCGAATATTTATGCAGTTGAGCCGAAAGTTTGACCAGTGAGTCATGAAATTAAAAAATATCGAAGGAATAAGTGAAGCATTAACATTGAATAGCTAACCGAATTGATTAACACCAATAAGGAAAATGGAAGTAATGTAAATAACACTAACAGTAAAGAATTCTAAACCTCAATAGAACTATGATATAAAGAAGGAACATTTGAATTTAATAAGACTGGAATTGGGGTGGTATTCGAACCAAGCAGTTCATTCAGAGATGTAATGATTGTGAGGTTAATTGATGAATAGATCAAACTAGAAGATCAGGGTCAATTTGGTTATCAGAACGTAGTAATTTAGCTAGATGTGGAATGGTTAATTCGACTAAGTTAAATAACTTAAAAAAGAGCCCTGCCATTGATATACATGCATTTGAATACTGTCACACAACGAGGTGAGATACGGTAAATGTATTTAAAAGAAGTAAATTTAGGTGAAAAGAGAGGCCGATCACCGAATCTTTGAATCATAACTAAATCGGTAGAATAGGAATGACGCAACACCTATATGGAAAACAATGATTAAATACAAGGGGGACTAAGGCTGTATAAGGCAAGTTAGGAGGTTGTGTGAAGAAATTGATATAATTATCAGTAGTAAATTGTCTTGAAACGTCACCCGATTATTAATACTGATCACCGTATGCTTTATCAAATAAACCTATTCACTGTGGAATTTCATTCTACCACAATGCCCGAATGCTCTCTGAATTTAATATATAATACAATCGAACAGTTCAGTAAGGCATTCTCATCTTAAAATATCTAACCTTCACCATCTTTTTAAAGAGAGATTACACCCTAACGACACAACAACCACAAAAAAACGTGAAATAGATGAAACCATTTAATCAAAAGTAACAGAACTTCGATAGCGTCAACTGTGAAGTAATTCGGAAACTGTTGCAACACTAAGGAGTTCCCTCAGTCAACAGCTAAATGGTCATGCCACAAGCCAAGCAACTCACAATGGCAAGCTTAGCAAAGCCTACTTTCACCTACTATATTCTTGATAGTGTTGGACTAGATCACACAAAATACCGTGAGAGGCAAGAAGACAGGAATACGTTTGGACAGTGGAGAAGACCCTAGAAGATAAGACTTTACGGACAATTTATATCGAATGTCACACAAACGTGAATATCTACAGGCGAAGACCAACAATTTGGTAGGAGAGGCAGGCTACGAAGATAATAGCGATGAAAACACCTAACTAACAACAACAATCAGCAGTCACCATCAACAGGAGAAATCAGAAGGAATTCACCACTTTCAATTATCTAGGCAGCTTCGTTTCAACCACAGGCGTGGAAGATGAGGACGTCAAAACCCGTCAGGATTGCAAAAGCAAAACAGATCTTCATTAGGCCGAAATTAGCATGGAGATGTGCTGAACTCAGGGTAAGCAACAAAACCCGGATCTTCAACGCCAATATAAAGTTGGTGCTTTTAATATGGTTCAGAGGCTTGGCGCGAGCTTCACGGAAAGCATTTCCAACAGGCTACTGCCTTCGCTCGATCAAGAAGATTGGATGACCGGCCAGGAAAGATAAGCAACAAGGTACTTTGGCAATGAACTAGCCAAGAACCTATAGATTAACACAAATAGGTAGGAGGAAATGGATTGGACACACGCTTAGATTTTCGACTGATATATCACGCACCAGGCCCTTTAGTGGAAACCGAATAGGAGACGAGTTGGGTGTCCAAGTGTGACGCGGAAGAGATCGTGTGATGAGAAAATGAAAGCTTGTGGGTAATCGCGGAGCCAGTTAAAAAAGACCACAGAGAACGAGGTGAAATGAAGATGCCCTATGCTTCATTCAGAACTCAAAGGAATAATAATAATAATAGCAGTATCGAAACTTCACACAGGAATATACAGTGGGATCGTACTAGCATATTTACTACATCACAAAATAAACGACATTGGGCGTACAATTAGGCAGGTTCATCATCGTATTTCCGAACATCATCCAACATGGTTAAGCAAGGGACAAACAAGATCTATTCGTAGCTCTATTTTAGCACACCTTGTAGATACTGAGCATAAGGTTGATGTTAATACAGCATTTAAAATTATCTATCGCATTCCTACTAATCTTAATTTTGCTCTACGAGTTCGTCTTCTACAGACAGCTGAAGCAATAGGAATCCACCTGAAGAAGCCAAACCTGTGTGTTCAGAAGAAATTTGTACAGCCACTTTCCTTACCTTGGCCATCGTTACATGAATGTGTAAACCGGACTACTTCGCCCCCCTCCCCCTAAACCTTTAAAATTATAAAAATTATAATTGTCTAAATTATTTTTTCTGACCACTTCATCTTTAATTACGTGTTATCCTTGTAAAATTAATTTATTCTAACCATTTCTACCTTTTAAATGTGTATTGATTTTCTTCGTTTATTATCAACCCATTGACATTTTGACACTGACTAATTATTGTTAACAAACTTATCGCCACTTGATTGGTAAACTGTTGTGTATTGTAATAAAAATGCTATATATATTAGAGTAGAGCCAGAGATGAGGATCTAATTGAAAAGTAAATATTTCTTCGCTCAATCTTTCTGTTTTCTAAATGTCTAAATGGGGATTTTTTCTATATTGACAATTTATACGTCTGAATTAGCGTAGGACAAAACTACAAGATGAAATTCAGATACCATTTATTAATATACACTTTTAATCAAAATATATAGATCTTTAAGAGATACAAATCTCTATGTGAATAACACATGCATATAGGCACATATATATATAGTGATTTGTAAATATAAATAAGCACATAAATATGATGTGGAAAAGAGAATTTGAAAATCATTTTTCCATAGTAATAAGAAATCAATGGAATACACTGTGAAGGAAAGAAATAAAGATGATTTTTGTGTGTAAGATCGCGTAAATTGTTTACACACTGTATCTTAACTTTAAAAATATGATATCAAGTAATGCAATGTATCAGTAGTAATAAATCATTAATCGATTAGTAATAATAATAATTAAAACAGTTACATTTAAAAGAAAGTTTTTAGAATACATTTCTGTAAAACAAATACTATAGAGAAATGGAATTTTTGTCATTTCAAGGCATAATCGATTTAAATGTACTCAATGCTTCTAAGAGAATAGACTGTCGTTGCTCTGGACGTAAAATAGGCAGGCTACTAGCAATCTGTGATAATTTATCTAAAATATCTTTTTCAACATCATTCTGTGTTAGTTCACATTGATTCTCTTTATTATCATCAATGTCGTTATTATCATTTTATTATTATTATTATTATCATTATCATGGGTGTTGGCATTGATATCAGATCCTGTTGAGATATTTTGTTGTATATCATTATCCTCACTATTAATCTTGTCTTCATTGCTAATGATAGGTGTGGTCACATCTTCACTGTCATTAATATATTCCGTATCATCATGCGTTAAATCAACTGTTTGTACAGTTGATTCATCCTGATTGTAAAACAAAAAAGAGAAATAAATAAAAGTGGAAAGGTATAAGTACTTTGTGACTAACTAACTGCCTTATTAATGATGTTTAAGAACCTGAAAGGTAAATAGAAAAAAGAGAATAACCCACTAAACTATTGATTATTTAAGCTACTGTAAGGAGAAGATTCCACTGACATCAAATACCATATCTATGGGAATACATATCAGTTATGTAGAACTATCAATAAACAATGGTCAGTTGTCTAATTGACACCAGCAAACTGATATTTACGAATAATGACGGAAGTTAGAATTGATTAGCTGAATGGTCAAGTAACCTGAAAGTCCTGGGTTCAATACCTTGGGTGGGAGTGGAGTCATGGGGGTGCATATTGATGAAGAGTCCCAAACAAAGACAAACAAACATAGAGCTAGGAGATTATGCTCTACAGAAAAATTAGAGGAACAATTCATATTTCTCGAAAAGATGTTGAAAAGCAGCGGTTACCCTCAGAGGTTCATTAACAAGTACGGAAGATCTGAAGGCTTAAATGTCAAGTACATGTCAAGCACAGTGGAAAAAAGCCCATCTAAATTCAACTTGATTTTAAAGGTGAAAATATTACAGCAATTGTAAAAAGAAGATTGAAGACGTCACTCGGCAGAGCCTATCCTGCAGCTAAGCTCGTCCCCGTCTATCGAACAACTTGCGCTTTGGCGCAATCAAAAGTCGACAGATATCCTTCTCATGTTAACTCCGACTGTGTATGCAAATTACATGTATCTGCGGGAGCAGTTACATTGGAAGAACAGAAAGAAGGGCATACCTCCAATTTTCTGAACATGTACCAAAAAGCCTATGTCTCAATGTAACAAATGCTTTAAACAGTACCATCGCTAGGCATCTCTCTGACAAGGGTCATGAGGTGGACATTGCAAGATCGTTCAAAATTATCAATAAGTGAAAGAGTTCAATTCTCCTTAATTTTGCCGAAGCAATCTCCATCATGCGCCTGAAACTCGATTTATGCGTTCAGAAAGAAGCGATTGTCAGTCTTTCCTTGCCCTGGTAACCGGATAATTTCATCTGATTACGTAATACCGAAAGTTTCCATTGTGTATGGTCATTATTGTTCGGGATAAAGCGTTTATTATTACCATATTTACTATTATTGTATGCATATATTGATTGATTTTTGTTTAAAAATGAAACCTGCGCAAGTACGTTAAAATTGTATCCGTAGATATACTTAATAATGACTTTGGCCTGTAAGCAGCTGATGAGAAGCCAACTGCAAAAACTGTTGTTTTTGCTTTATTCAAACGAAACAGCTATCCAGTTTTCAATGGTCCTCTAACTGAGGTCAGTTCTTGAACAATCTTGATTTCCAATGAGTTATTTGTTTAGAATACTACGGTAGAAAAGAGTATGTACAATCCTTTACAAAGTGCTATTACCAAAGTGTGATTTACGTGTGAGGAAATGTTAAAATATTTACACTAAACAGTACTCTTGAAATGGTTTATTCAAACCCAGAGCTATGCAATTAAATTGTTTTCCTTGAATGAGAGCATATTTGGTTGCCAACATCTTTGATGAGTTGTTCATGTATGGTGAGCACATCACACAGTTATGTTTACAAAAACTTATCAGAAATAATAATAATAACAATAATAAATTAATAAAGAAAAGCCCACCTTCATATTTTCAATATTCACTTCTGAGCTGGACTCGACAGTAATAGGTGAAAAGCTACACTGCTCAATTTGACTAATAGATGAACAGACAGACTGATCTTCACCATTCTCTACTTGACTGGAACCTTGACTACTTTCTATTAAAATACACTCTTCGTCATCATCATTAGCATTGGCATCATCATTATCAGTATATGATTGAGTCTGTTCAATAACATTAGAACAATTAGCATCACCATCACCATCAACTGTCTTGGCGTTATTTTCATCTGTTTGAGAATCTGCTATCACAATAGGTTCACTGTCGACTGCCAATATATTATCTTGTTCCTCCTCAGTATCCACCGCCTTAGATTTTACATTATTCGAAACGGGTGCAGGTATAATAACAGGTTCCATGAATAACAGTCTATATTTTGGAAGCGCCGACTTTTGAGACTTAGGACCAATAGAATTTTTTCTAATTGGGAATTCGCGTCTCTGAGGTGAAGCTGATTTACGACGATGATGTGAACTTGATTCTGAATTATTATTATATGACGATGGAACAGGAGGAGTCACCTGTTCCACAGATTTCACAGTTACAGATAATCTAAACAATAAGACAGAATAGGAATATGCTACGATAACTGAAATGGCAAACATAAATGAACAAATTCTAGAACTGATAAGCAGGACAAAATATGAGGACAAATCTGCATATCTATGTGGTGAGAGCTGTCTACTAGCCAAATTGGTAGACAGTAATTTACGTCAATATTTACGTTCCCAAGATTTGTCGTGAGAAAACGTGAACAAAGATTGATTCAAAACCGACCACAGCAGACTTTGCGTAGGCGGATGCAGTTAACATATACAGGATTTGACATTCAAGAAACAGTCACAAATAGATGAAAGATTAACTTTACGTGAGAAACAACCAATCGGAAGACTGTGTTTATTTACTTAAATAACCATAGTAATGTACATGCAAATATATAAATATGCGTTGATTTCCTTAATAAATGATCTGTTGCCTGACTCTTGCCTTCTGTCGTTATATCTATACCTAAACTCAGTAAGGAATAGGAACACCATATATCGAATTACACAATAGTCATCAAAACAGTAACAAAGTGAAATGTCACTTAGCAGTTACATACAGCGACGTGTATTAAACATTAACGATTAGTGACACTACCTAGTTAGTTAACTATAGACAAGACAAAGAGAATTTAAATAAATGGTCATCAGACTGAAACTCAAGTAGTAAAATGAATTTGACACAGTTTCACAAGAATGCATGATGAAATGATGATGGCCGATTTTGGTGTGGTTGCTACCTCTGAGCTGGATGATTAATTGTGAAGCTTTTTTCCGGGGCTACTGAAGAAAGACTATATCTTATTACGTAGGATGTTAAAGGTTGTCAACAGGGTAAGCAACGTGCCACTTAACCAGCTTGTTAATATTCTGGTTGACAGGCACATGGACTCATGTGAAAAATGGGCTAAATCCATTCTATCTAACTCACACCACCCTCTTCATTTACAACTCTCCCCTTGTATCTCATCAGGCAGAACCAGAAGCCTATATAGAAAACTATATGCTCGCACTAGCAAGTACAAAAACTCAACCATACCCTACTTAGCTCGTGTTCTGTGCGATAAAGAAAGCATTAGGCATGATATCTATAACTTATTAAATAGTCAGTAGAACAATTGGATCTCGTCTTTCCAACTGATATCATTTATAGGTACAACGTTTTCTTTCTTTCTTTTCCTTTTCTCTTTTTTGTTATGTGCTGCTTTGTTTCTCTCTTCCTTACAAACTCTATTTAAAACATTCTTCTTCGTTCTTTCACACTCTGTATATCTCGACCTTTTTGTTACCGCTTACGCCAGTAAATATACTAGCATCTACTTTTCTAACACTTTCAAACACTGTTCAATTTTGGCTTTGCTACCGACATGCTATTATGTTGTTGTCAAAACTAACCGAGATTACCCTTAATCTTTGTAGAATTTTATTTATTGTTAATGTACTAACTGGATGCAATACTGTAGTAAAAATGCTGAGAATTCTATTCTGTATCACAAGTACTGTTTTGGAATAAAGCATATTATTATTATCTTTTATTATTATTTTAGACAACTTCTTCACCACTGTTTTCAAGATGAAAAGAGCCTTCGGAAATCTCCATGAATACAATAACCATCGGTCCAGATGAAATCGTCTCTGGAGAATTTCTCATGTCTATGTTCACTTGTATCAGTAATGATTATTATTTTTTTTTTGACCTAATGTTTGACCTTTTGTTCTTTGTGACCTCTAGTTCACTGTTTGATAAACATGATCTACATTTATATGCCTTTTGATTGCAGATTCATCTTATTAACAGGCTTCTAGGAATTCCCCGGCATCTTTGACGTTTCCTTAGTCAAAGGTCTGTGGATATCCTCTTCATTTTCGCATCCTTGAACATAAACTAGCTGTCAAAAGATATGATAATCACTGCTTTATATAAATGTACATAGAGAAATTACCAAGATCAAGTCGACTGGATGAATATACAAACAAACAATCAAAGAGGTCATTTAAACAAAGGGTCAAATGTTAGGTCAACAAAATAATCATTACCAATACAAGTAAACAACAAGGATACGAAATTTCCCAGAGACAAGTTCATCTAAACAGATGATTAATACATTCATAGAGAATTGCGAAAGCTCATTTCATTTGGCAGATAGTGAGTGCTAGAGGTGTTGTTTAGACAGACAATAAAAGTTCCACAATTAAGCCAGCAAGCTCACAGAACGCAGATATAGCAAAATAAATGATGAATTACATGCATAACCCCGCACTATCACATGATAACGAAATGACGGTCTTCAAGTGATGGGATAATACTAAATTATTGTATCAGCTTAACTGTATGTAGGTGGAAATGAATACCAACTGAATAGCTAAATGCTGATTTACTACTTTTTTTATTCCTTTTAGTTCCAAGTGGAACATAGGCATCAAGCTTGAGTTTTGAAGTCTCAGTAGCAGTGGAGGTTTTACGGAGTGGGGTAAGGGGGTGCGCCAGCCGGGTGTCGAACCACGGACCACGTGTGCATAGCTGGTGAGCATCTTACCACCGAACCACCACCGACGCACACGACTTAATAGTTGGATAAACCAAAAAAAGAGTAAAAGTATAGTAACTTACACAGACTGGGAAGAATTCTGTGAAGCATCCAAATCTACAGGCATATCTGCAAATGTAAAATGAGAAACAGAATTTGAACTAGGCGACTTCTCTGATGTTACAACAATGGAGGATCGATTCACATCCTCCTTTTCCGTCATTCCATTCATCACTTGATTTGTTTCGCTTGATGATTGTGGTGGATTCACTTTTAACGCAGTATTGTTATCATCACTTAAAACATTAAACTCGGAGGCATCCTCTTCAAGATTATACAGAACTTTTTTTCTACTTAAATTTGAATATCTCTGATAGTCATCAGCGTCGTTGTCATCTGAATCGTGATGAAATGAATTATTTGATCCAATAGTATAAACGACAGGCTCTTCAGCGAATGAAACACGTTGAGACTTTTTCTTTGACCATAAATTCCTCATTATACCTTTAATGTAATTGAGAAATAAAAGTCAATTAATTAAAAAAATTATCACACAATCAGAGATATATACTTATGATTAGGTAGTAGATAGAAGATATTATCAGAGGAGTACACCAGTCTATACCGTTTTTATAGCAACAACGACTTTTGGTGCAACTCAAACTGATTGATTGTCTGGTTTCAACATAGAACTTTGCACAAATGTGCAGTAGTTCGAGTTACCACACACAAAGCAAGAGAAGAGAGTAAAGTGAGGTTCAAAAGAGAGATAATTAACATAAGTGTGAGGGAAAAAGAATAGTAATATGGAAAAACAATAGAGTTTTATTGGATATGATAAATCACAAAGAGTGAATGCATCATCTACGCCAGCCGTTGAGAACGATTTTCAGCCATATCACCAATCGTCTCCAACCATTGATTTTTACCATCCCGAGGACCCCAACAAGGAAGTCTACACCTTCCTACGTGGCTTAAACTAACTGTTGTGGATTTCATTGACCGATGAAGCCATGTTTTGATTTGACCACCATTACCGACTCTTTTCAACCTAACCCTATATCAGCTAACATTGCCCGTCGAGGAAGGCGATGGCTAGGCATGCGTAACAACACATGTCCTAACCATCTCAATCGATGTAACTTCACAGCCTCGTCGATTGATTTCTCCTCCTTACCTAGCACTCGATGCCAAACCTCTATATTAATCACTCTATTAGGCCACCTAACACGGTATATAGAACGCAGCCACCTATGATCAAAGAAAGCTAGCGAGGCTTTTCATGTCTTCCACTTTTAATGACCATGTCTCACAGCCAATAAGGAGGACGGAGAGAACTGCTGAGCAGTACATACGCTTCTTGGTCAACAGCGGGATATCACGTCTACGCCAGAAATGGCGTATGTCAATCGAGCCTTCTGTATCCGTACTGAGATTTCGTTAGTGATCAACCCGCTGGCACTGGCTGATGTAACTTCCCAAATAAGTGAAGCGGTCAACACACTCCACCACTTTACTCCCTATCTTTAAGCTAGGAGTCAATGTAGTGCACTCTTGACGGAAGCGAATGCTCAACTGAAACCGAATAGAATGCCGAATGAGCAGTTCGAGTTGCCACGTTTCAAACCGAATAACTGATTTATAAATGAGGAAAGAACCTTTATATTAGGTTCATGTGTATAGATAAAGCTCTTAATTCATCTCCCCTTTCATACCTATCAGTCCTATGCTTATTAAAATACAGATCGATTTCTCAAGCAAAGAGATTTCCGAAGCAAATCAACTAGACTCGCTAACGTTTCTTAATCATGGGACAAAGAACAAAATGAAATTTTGAAATTAAAATAAAAGAAGCTCACTTTATTACCTTATTAAAACGATAAATTTCAATTAGAAAATTAAGAAACACTACCAAAAAGTGCTAAGTAGGATGTTTTACATAAAACAAAAAAGATACAACAGATAAAATGTAGACAATATTTACCAGAAGGTGAACCTGTACCCGAAGGACTGAAAGACACACAAGTTGGAGAAGCCAACAGATTTGACATAGGTCTTCGTTCTGTTGACACTGGACTATTGTCCGCAGATAAAACACCACGACTACTACTTGAATTGCCAGTATTTTGATCTCCAGATGATGACCTCTGGCGTGCAGTTTGTTCAGCAGCTTTCTGCAAACCTAATGCAAGCATCTTTTGAGCTCGACTTGAACCTGTGAACAAATATGTTCAATTTTGTTTTTAAAAAATGCATGGAATGGCACACAAAGAACAGCTGAATATGTCAGCTAATTAAAATATTAAATAGAATGATAAAATGAAGACAATTGTCAGTTAATTTATACACCTTTGCTGTTTTAGAAAAACTGATAATAAACTAACAAGAGTATATGTTTAGATTAACGGTAAACAGGAAGCTTTTATCAAATTACCCCCTCGTGCATAGAATCAATTCATCTATTTCCAATCAGGAGTACATCATACACCAGCATATGATATACAAACTGATCAGCCTTAGAAGAACAGCATACGATAAAGAATAAAAAAGAGGCTGACAGAATACTACAGCAAAAAGTGATACATTGAACTCTAAAAGGTGGGCAAAAAATTGGATTGGATTCACACTGTTATTGCCGTAGGTTCCGGAGTAGGCTGGTAGGACTTCAACAATACATCTTCATTACATTCGGTTCTCTTCAGCCTTTTCTAGTCTCATTTCCCATTCGTGTCCCGCTCGAGGACTTGGCATATGCTTTCATTCAACGGTCTCCTCAGAGTACGTACAATCCATCTCCTTTACTTCCCTCTGCATATTTGTTGGGAGATAGGGTTGTTGGTTGGTTCGTCTACCAATAGAATCCTTTGTTGCTTATCCTAAACAACCAGCCATTTGATCTTCATCATTGAGACAAAGATGACAGCTGTTGTAAATCACAGTAGCTGTTGGAAGAGCTTTTGTTGATCATGCACCAAGTATCTGAACCACATAGTAGCACTGATTTGTCACTAGTGTTAATGATACAAATCTTGCTCTTTATGATGAGTACTGTAGATTTTCAAACTGAATTCAGTGTAATGAAGGTCTGCTTTGCTTTTCCGATCCTGATGGGCTTTGACATCCTCGTCTGCGCCATCTATCTATAGTTGAAACGATACTGTGTAAATAAGCGAAAAAATTGACTGCCGTGAAATTTCTCTTGTTGATGGTGACTGGTGCTTGTTGTTGTTGGTGGTGGTGGTAGTTAGGTATTTTCATCACCTCTATTACTATTACTATAACAATAATATTACAATGTCAGTAAATTTATTTAACCAGATAATACTTATAGTCGTAAAGCATAGTTTATAAATCCATTAGGCATATAATCAAACTTCAAAAATACAATCATTTTCCGCAAACTATGGTCATACTCATCATCAAAACAGTCCAAACAATTGACATTATCAGGTGTTTTTCGTCGAATACAGTAAGTGTATTTACATAAGTTATACAGAAAGAGTTTAAGGAAGGAATTCAGAAAAGAGGGACAATAATAATAATAAGAATGTCAGACAACATGAAATGTAGTGTGAAAAAGACATTAAAACAGAACATAAACAATGAATGTATTTAAAATTTAACCGAAGATATATTGAAATAAGTAATCCCAACCAGGAGATATGATCAATAAGCATTATATTATTATTATTGTTCCCTTGGCTTCCTAGTGGAACATTGGGCTTCAACAACACATCTCTACTTTCTTCTATTTTCTGCCGTCCTCTTCATCTGGGTCCATGATTGACCAGACTCCCTCATCTCCTCTTCACACGATCTCTTCCGTGTCACCCTCGCACTGACGACCCACTCTTCGCTTCCCATTTGGATTCCACTCGAGCGATGGCCTAGCTGGCGCGCGATGTCATTCGACGGCCTCCTCAATGTATGCCCGATCCATCTCCATTTTCTTCGACACATTTGTTGAGCAATCGGCTCTTGGTTGGTCTGTTGTCAGAGTTCCCTGCTGCTCATTTTTTCTGGCCAGCCGGCCATTTGATCTCCAGTATGGAGAAAGCGAAGGCAGCTGTTGATTAAAGTCTGCAGTAGACTGTTGGAAATCCTGACACGCAGTGCAAGTTTCTGACTTTACATTGGTGTTGAAAATCCGAATCTTGTTCCTTATGTTGAGTGTAGAAGATTTCTAAACTGGTTTCAGGTTGATGAAGGCGTATCTTGCCTTTCTGATCCATGCTGGTCAGCTTTGACATCTTCATCCGTTCCGACTGCTTGTAGTTGAAACGATGCTTCCTAGATAAGTGAAGGAGGTAACCTCTGTTAAATCTCTCCCGATGATGGTGATTGGTGCTGGTTGTTGTTGTTGTTGCTGTTGGATTGGTTATCTTCATCACCTCCTTTCTCTATGTCCGCCTGCAGTCCTGTCTTCTCTGCTTCTTCAACCAGCTTGTTGGTTTTTGCCTGCCAGTCTTCGAGTTTGTGTGACATTAAACATATATATCATCTTCCTAATCAATAAGCATACTTAGTTCGAAATCACAATTTTGAAGAACACAAACAGTTAACCACTTTTTATCAAACACAATGAGATAAGATATGAATAATACAGCTTGTATATAGTCCATCACATCTCATAATATCAAAAATATGAATGACTGAAATATTCGTAATATTACAAAAACAACCTCCAACATTTGTATTGATACTCACTGTGACTATTATACCGATTAAATTCTTAGTTATATTTAGCCATGCCTCCAACACTTAGGTATTAATCTGTGACTACAGACTCGTCACTACAAAACTAGGTTTACTAAGTTGAGTTGTACAGACCCGTTGAAAACTATTGATTTACAGGGATTTAAGAATCCGGAGAGATCAAAATCTGCTGAAATACACTTTTTTTCATTGCCAACTATGTGAAAACAGCTGGTAGTGTGGTTTTATTGTCTGTAGGATAGCAACTTAATCCAAAGGTTTCAAGAAAACCTAACTATAACAATCACTATGGTTGATTTTTTAGGACCAACTCACATAAAAAATAACGATTTGAATTTGTATCTAATTTTAACTAAATAAACGAAGAATAATAAAAAAAACCCACTAACCTCGAATTAATGGACTGGATACATTATTGATAATTGGACGTGAGGTTAATATTGCTGGGACAGACACAGAAGATGTGGATACTGTCTTGACATTATCACCATCATTATCATCATCATCTTTAGAAATCGATTTTGAAGGAGCCGTTGAAGACAAATCGTCATTAGCTACGACAGGTGAAGGAGCCGTTGAAGACACATCGTCATTAGCTACGACAGGTGAAGGAGACAATTCTTTTTTCTCACCAGCTGACATATCGTTTTCATTATTATCATTGCCATGACTATTGAGTTTAGGTGAATCGTCTACTACATTATGTGACACAGTTTCAACTGGTGATAGGTCTGAAAAACGCGACAAAATGAAATCAAAATTATTACATTCACTTCGGAATCATTTATAAGGAGATTTAGAAAGATCAGTACAAAACACTTTTTTTAATGCCTTTACGTCTTAAGTGCACCATCGGGTCACAAGCTAGAGCTCTGAAGTTTCGATAGCAGTGGTGTTTAATTTTTAAGGGATAGGGTTGCTAGCCTTATGTCCAACCTCCCCACTTTACCAGTCTTATTACTGGCTTAGCGAGGTGAAGGAGTACGTCGGTCAGTGATTGAACCCCAAACCACCCAGTGCGGTTGGCGAGTATTCTACTGATGTGCTACCGACGCACACGAAACACAATTATATAATATACACGTCAAGAATTTATTTTTTGATTACAGCTTGATTCCACACCGGATTTTTTGGTACAGGTATGAAATCTTCAGCATGTGATATCGGTAGCCCAAATTTTGCAGGCCGACCATAGATATCGGGTGTGCATCGGCAGGGGATCGAACCCCGGACCATTTGCATGGTCGGCGAGAGTCCTAACCACTGTGCCACCGACGCACAGACATGTGATACGTCCTTACATAATTCATATCAACACTGAAGACCTACTGAAAGTAGATACACATGCGACCACTATGTAAATAACCAGAACACACTTGGATATGCTGTCTATTCCAATAAAGTTCAGTAGAAAAACATCACCGAAAGTTTTTATTCTTAAACCGATATTTTATACTTATATATCCTAAAACCACTACATCATTTGTTTCATATTTTCAAGTATTGGTTTTTGTAGGGTTTTTTTGTTTGATTGGTTAGAGGATTTCATTATGAGCTGACATCAGTTAAAGAACCATTGGAAAACCTGAGAGTACCGGACAGCTATTTTATCCCGGTTTGAGACTCTTCATCAGTACGCACCCATTGGAGTTCGAAGTCAGGACTTTCGGGTTACAAGGCGAGCTCGTAGACCATTTGTTTCATATTTGTTTGATCAAAAGCCACAGAAATCAGTACACGCAGCTTAGTTCCAGTGCACATGTCCAACTACTGATCTCCGAGTAATATTACTACTGAATAAAAGAATGTTACTTAACAACCAGTCGCAATTTCATGCAACTGGCGATGAGTCGTGTCTATTGTGTGTAAGTTAGTGATACAACCTCGCCACTCAAACCTTGATAACTGAAACGGGGTTCGTAATCTGTTGTCTTCACTGGTTGGAAGCCGTGCGCCCAGACCACCAATGAACCACTGCTTCACATAACTACTAGTAAAACTAGTAACTAAAATAGGAGACATAATAACAGATCAAATTCATAACCATTAAATTGTCATTCGATCTCATAATAGATTACGGATTAAAGAATTAAGCTGAAACATAAATCTATTGTATGAACAGCAACAAAGCTACTCATCACAATGTGCACACTGAACAATAAATGATGATGAAAATCATCTACACTGATAAAATCGAATAGCGGGTCAATGAACGCTACTACTCCACTAGTTTAAGACTAACATTTCCGAAATATCAACTCAACTATGAGATTACACCTTTTTTTTAAATCAAACTGTAATGTAAATTATAAGCCAACAAAAAAAATTAGAATTCAATCACATAAAGTCATAGGCAATCTCATTACTGGATTTATTTATTTCTGAAGAGATGTTATTCTCCAATGTTTTCTCCACCTCACATTGTGTATCAGTTACTTCTGTATCTTGTATAATTTCCAAGTCATCTTTTGAATCCTTTTTTTAAAAAAAAAAGAAAGAAAAGAAAATCATCGGTGAATTGTCAGTTGAAGAGCCCATGAAAACAAAAACGCTAAAATTGTAACATTTTTCCTAGTAATGCATCGAAAATCTGAAACAGAAACAGGGTGACTAAATTGAGCAAAAATGAAGGTCAGCCAGAGATTTTCAATCGAATGAAAATAAGAATTGGTTACAGGACTTCATCATGAGCTGACAATGGTTAGAGAACCATTGGAAAACCTGGGAGTACTGGACAGCTGTTTCGTCTTGGTTTGAAACTCTTCAGCAACCCAATACTTGAATATCAATGAGATACTCACTGGCGACTGGACCTATTCAGGTAGGTAGTTACCTGGGGTTCCAGTCGGAAGCCGTGACCAGTAGCGTGCAGCAGGTCGGGTGTCAGGACAAATACTCGCCGAAGACATTGGCTAGCGGTTGCGCTATATCGTGAATTAGCAGAAGTTAGAATTCATGGGCTATTGGACCGGGTCCCAGTGGCTTAATGGTATACAAGCTCGCCTTGTAACCAGAAGGTCCTGGGTTCGAGCCCTGGCGGTGGGTGCGTACTGATGAAGAGTCCCAGACAAGGACGAAACAGTTGTCCAGTACTCCTTGGTGGGTTTTCCAATGGTTCTCTAACCAATGTCAGCTCATGATGAAATCCTTTAACCAATCAACCAAATCCCTACAAACCAATACTTGAAAAATACGAATTGTTAAATGAAGTTATCTTCAGATAAATTCTATCAAGAAAGTACAATTGGATTGTCAATCTATTCCTACTATATTGTTTTAATTTTCTTCGGCGGGGTGGGTGGGTTAGAAGTAAACTATGAAAAAGAACAATGTCTGAAAGGAAAAAGATTGAGAGGGCACAACTATGGCAGAGGCTTTATTTACCACTCATAAACTCTATCGCAAAATATTTTTCCATTTCGGAATTTATGAACACCACCGACAAAATGATTAACAAACGCATTACCAATATATATATATATATATATATATATATAAGCTGCGGAGCCAGCTACATTGGGCGTACAATTAGGCAGGTTCATCGTCGTATTTCTGAACATCATCCAACATGGTTAAGCAAAGGACAAACAAGATCTATTCGTAGTTCTATTTTATCACACCTTGTTGATACTGAGCATAAGGTTGATGTTAATACTGCATTTAAAATTATTTATCACATTCCGACTAATCTTAACTTTGCTCTACGAGTTCGTCTTCTACAGACAGCTGAGGCAATCGGAATCCACCTGAAGAAGCCAAGCCTATGTGTTCAGAAGAAATTTGTACAGCCACTTTCCTTACCTTGGTCATCGTTACAAGAATGCATAAACCGGACTACGTCGCCCCCCTCCCCCTAAACCTATAAAAATTATAATTGTCCAAATTATTCTTTCTGACCACTTCATCTTTAATTACGTGTTATCCTTGTAAAATTAATTTATTCTGACCATTTCTACCTTTTAAATGTGTATTGATTTTCTTCGTTAATTATCAACCCATTGACATTTTGACACTGTTTAATTATTGTATATATATATATATATATATATATATATATATATAGTACAAATAACTTCAAATTAAATAAGCAAATTTAACGATGGACTTACAGACTCTTCAGTAGAAACAGGTTCTTTGGTTAACGGAGATAAAACAACTCTAAAAGCATACATTTTTAGAGAAAAAAAAAGAAAATGAGAAGGAGAATATATACATGGTTAGAAAAATGCTTTTCAATCCGTAAAGAAATTACTATCCTATATTTATAATGTGTAATTATTGAAAGTGAAATGAAGATCGGCGTCACAGCGGCACCAGCAGCCTCCCAGGCTATTCATTTCATTCTATCTTCAGAAATCACGTATTACATACAGATAAATAAATAGTCGTCTGAATAGCCAAAGTTATTGTATTTTTTTCATTTTTTATTACAGCTTGATGCCACACCGTATTTTTAGGTACAGGTATGGAATTTTCAGCATGGATATCGGTAGCCCAAATTTTACAGGCCGACCATAGATATCGGGTGTGCGTCGGCAGGGGGTCGAACTCCGGACCATGTGCATGGTCGGCGAGAGTCCTAACCACTGTGCCACCGACGCACAGTCTTACAGCCAAAGTACCATCTCTTAATACTTAAAATTTAGTAAAAGAAGTATCACTGGATTAATTTTCTTATGAACACACTGAACTGTACTTTGATTGGACACTGGTAACTAGTGTGACGTGTCTAGTCCTTTCTTTGGTGCAGACTGAATTCTATGAGTCAGATTTCCAATGTGGCCACCATTCTAGGTAGCTCGCCATCACGGTGCACATTGATTTGATGATATTAGACGGTTGGAGGTAATCGAGAGCCCGAATAGTTCAGTGGTAACGTTTCTGATTGCAGCACTGGGTGACGCGGGTTCGAATCTCAGAAGGGACATGAGTTCCCTCAAGGTTGCAGATACGCCTTGCTGACTGGTGAGTGCCAACTAGCACGAAACCCAGGTCTAAGACTTCCTGCCGATTGCCTCCAACCATCTAATATTGAACCGTGTTTGGGATTAAATTCGAAACAGAAACTGTAAGCTATTATTAAAAAAGAAATATTTTTGAAAAAGAAGCATATTTAATATCGATTTTACTTATCATATATATATATATATATATATATATATATATATAAGCACAGATATCACGGTGATTCATTTCCTCTGTCTAAGCACAAATTTACTTCTGTCGTATAGATCACATTTACCTGTGTGCAACTGCGTTAAGCGAATATTCAACCAATCACATACATGGATGGATGACAAATAAAAGGAAACATGTACGGAAATTAGTAATGACTGTACGCTGCACGAAGATGCCAACCAGAAATCAACAAGGCGAAAAAAAAGTGGACAGGTAATTACCGAATTCATTTTCTCCTTACAGTTTATTCAGGATACTATGATTAAAACGATAAAATCAAACACTAACAAATACACCATAGAAAGAATCGTAAAGTAAACACAACATAACATCAGATGGAAGTCTTCACAGTCAAGACGATAAGTGGAATAAACAAAGAAATAATTAAATAAGAGCATGCACACATGCGCATAATGGGCTATAAAACCAAAAAACTCAGGTTTTTCTACACCACTGAACGACACTTCTCGGATTCAAACCTCAGTCCAATTGCTTTTTTCTTGAATGACTCGGTAATACTATAAACTCTTAGATACCATAAATTTTTGAGGTA